CAGTCACCACACATTTTTTTTACCTTGGTGACGCTTATGTCACCGTAAACCATTAGGTGGCAGGGAGATGGGGGAGTGGTGTAGGCTGCATTTTATTACCAAAAGCACGACCATTTTAGGAATCAATTTGCGCAATGTGCTCGTAATGGACGATGATCGGTGCATTTATTGAAACGTAAAAAACACCTCAAACCCAGCCACCTTCATTCCCGGTCACGGTTATCGTCAGTGGTGAACGATATACAAACGCCTCCTCGCAAAGGCATTTCTTCACTGATCCGAACAACCCCCTATAATTCAATACATCTAAGCTAAGCAGGCCTGACCCTGGCAAGTGCATGTGTAGAGGTGTAATTGTGTATGGGTACGGATGGCTAACAAACACAAGGGGCGTGGTTAGGGCCGTACACAGAGGAGGTGCTCACACCGACGTCCGCACTTGCATCCCCCACGGGCCCCTCCCGGGGGCCGAGTGCTATTAAAGGTGGTGAGCCGGAGGGCTCGAGGTCGAGTATTAGCTTAAACCAGCGAAGACTGAAGACCAGCTACAATAGGCCCCGGAGCTCCCTTGGCTCGCTGTCCTTGTCAGGGCCGACCAGGGCAAGCCGGTGGCGTGGCCCCGAGAGCCCAGACTGACGTTCTTATAAGAGCCGGTCTGGAGACTCAGGGTGCCGGGATCCCAGCTTGACCAGGGCTGGGATAGGTAGCCTCCCCTAGCTCCGTAGTGGAGGACTCGGGCGTAGGTTAGCGGGGTTAGATGTTGTGTCTCCCTGTTAGACGAGTGAAGGGGACGATACACCTTTAAGTACTGTGTGTACGCGTTACTGTGCACAAGTTGGTGTTAATAAATAAGTGTGCCTCCGACCCCGTCGTCAAAGCCTCCTGAATACTTACTACACATGGATGGGTGACCGCCATGCAGGGCCACGTGATGAGCAGCAGAGGGCAGTGCTGCAAAGTCCGTTCCTCTGATTAGCACGCTTGGCCACGTACCGTGCGAAAATAACCGCTACGGCTGGCACTATGCAGCCCGGCAACTCAGCCAGCAGTTGATTGGCAAAAGTCTGTACGTGTACATATACAATAAAATCAGTAGCATTTGTGAAAAGGTTATTCAGAAAAATTATTTGTAAAATGCTGAGCACTTGATGCTCATGATACAGCGATGACGTAAGGATTAAAATATTGCAGTGTTCTTTAATTTGGCAGCTAATTGTTTTCACGTGCTTAGAGATGGAGTGATGAATTCAGTTTGAAGCTGCGAGGTGGCTTGTCACATTGCACATGCCTGTCAACCCCTTATCAGTGCCTACCTTATTACAGACCAACTCAGACCTTATTGGTCACCCCGTGCGCTTAAAAATCTCAACGTTCATCCTGCAAAGCCCCACCACAAGGGAGAAACACAAACAGAACATTTGTTTTTGCCCGTATTGTAACAGCTGTATGCCATATCGGACCTTAAAAACTCCTTTCCCTGTACAAGAATACGGGTTAAACCGTATGGGTTGACAGCTGTGCAATGCAGGAGGGCAAGAGATGGAAATGGCTTGAGGTAGGCCTTCATCCAGCAGTGGATTTAACAAATCTGATGATCAATGATGGCAATTTGTATACACAACGAGCAGTGCGAAATCCAAAGCAATGATAGGTGAGGTTTTACGCAGAGGCTTTCGCGACCAACTTTATGAACCATAATTGATTGTTGGGTCAAATGTGTGCGAGGAGAATACCGATGTGTGCTGTGCACCCTCCTCCACCTGACACACGTGTTAAGTGGTGTGGATCTCTCTCTGGAAAGGGTAAAACCTATTCTTACTTTTCATATTTTGATACTTGCAAAAAAGGTCCCATGATATAGCTGCTGACCCAAGCAAATAGATGCTTTGATACGTGCATTGTCTTTGTACTGTTCGGCATTTGGCGTTCTCTGGTCTCGCACCGGTGAGACTAGGCCACAGATATAAGGGATGTCAGGGGAAGGACTCCCACCAAAAGGAAGGGTGAGTGGAATGGTGGCAGTGGAAGGGGGAAGAGCAGGTGAGGAGATATAAGAGAGAACGGGCAGGAAAAAGAGGGAGAATGGGGGGAACCGGTTCGAGAAGGCTGGGAAGCAATAAAAGAAGAAGCCCGGCTCTCCTTTACACAGAGAAGGCTGTCTCTGGTGTAGGTCAATCCGTTTCAAAGACAATGAATATATTATCACCTGTGTGTTGGAGAGCCAAGCCATAATATTTACAAACTGAGTATGACGTTTCGCCAGTAATTACAACTAGCTTCATCAGGCGACAGCCAGATCTGTGGAGAAGTCTTACTGTTTCATTCCTGATAGGCGTAGATGTGTTGCACAATGTGGTGGGGGGGGGGGGGTTACTGTCTTAACGACACATTTATATATTTATGCAATCTAACCCAAAAACCTCTAAAGGATGATATTGGTCGCGAGAGCCTACGTGTTAAACTGATCTTAACACCTGTTTTATTTTCAAAAAAGGGTAAAGCCTATTCTTATTTTTGATAACTGCATATATATTTGACTGTATTCTTAGGTTTTTTTCGGTAAAGTCACGTAGGTAAAAAATTTATAAAAGTGAAATAAAAATAAAATAAAAATCACGACGTTTCGGAGGCAACACAAGCTTCCGTCTTCAGGTGGAACCGTTACAGCGCGATAGCTGCATCAAGTACTTGAACGGAAGCTTGTGTTGCCTCCGAAACGTCGTGATTTTTATTTTATTTTACTTTTATTAATTTTTTACCTACGTGACTTTACCGAAAAAACATAAAAATATGAATCATTGCAGTCACGAAAGCTTCAAATCTAGAAATATTTGACTGTGTCTAACGGAGGAGGGAGGTATGACTGGGATTGGCATGTTACTCATGTCGCAATCTGACCCAAACATCAATAATGAATCGGGCATGGTGAGGTTTGCAAATGTTCATTAAAGTGGTGTTCTGCTAACATGAAATATGGATTTTATGATCACTCACCATAGAAGGACATGTAAGCCAACTTTATCATCGTAAGTGCTTAGTTCAAGCAGTCACACTAATGTATCATTTACAGATTAGGGCCATTGTGGGAATTTTAAAGCATTAACAAAGGAATGTCATGTTCAACTAACCTTGCATCTATAATAGCCATCCTTTAACCTAAATTTACGTGATTTGATTTAGAAAAATGTGGTGTACTGAAATACATAAATGTTGGGATGGAGAGGTGGCACACTGGTGAGCACGCTGCATTAATAACTCCAACGACTTGAGTTTAATTCCCAGTCACAGCTAACGTCAGTGGCGAGTGACGTATGAAGCAGCCCAACCTGACCCCCCCCCCCCCATCCATTGTTGTAGTGTCATATTCCAAATATATGTTCCCACCTATCACAGCAACCTGCCATGACCAGTGTGGTGAAGTATGGTAAATCAGCCTCCATGGCCAAGGGTCGGCAACCTGCGGCTCTGTAAGGACTGCTTCGTGACGTAATTTATTCAGTGACCATCGTCTCGGATTCACCCACAGTGCATTGCGGCTCTTGATAGTTTTAGGAGAGGGGGGGTTACCGAATTCGAAAAAAAAATCTCTTCTTGTTTTGCTTTTCGACCCCCTGTCCATGGCTAGCTTGGCATGAAAGAGCCTTCATCCAGGAGTGGATAAGCAAATGATTGAACGTTTCATTGTTTTTATTTGGGTGTGACAGAGAAGATTATATTACCCTAAACTTTAATCGCAGTGCCAATTTGTTCGAGCAAATGCATTGTGGAAATGCCAGTGCACTCTGGTGCCACCTATTGAAACGAGCCTTGCTAAAGCATAGGCTCACATGAAATATAATACTGGTAGGAACCTCCTGGTTACACCAGCCCACAGGGGATTATTGTGTCAGTCCGTCCATCGTGCAGGGAGGGGCTGGGTGGGGAGGGGCTGGGTGGGGAGGGTGGGGCTGGGGAGGTGTGTGGCTAGGTGGGGAGGGGCTGGTCACCCCATGGTGCCCTTATAAAACTCAACGTTTGACCTACTCACGCCGGCTTGTGCCAGTCCTCACAGTCGGCCATATTTGCAGAATACACCACGCCGCCGTTGACCCTGGCCATTGACCGAGCAACCCAACGTTCCTACCAGCTCCCTCCGCAGGAATGTGTTACAAGGTGTTTCAAAAAAATGTTAACACTTAGGAAAATTTACAACAATACCACAATGTGCCTCCGGGCTCTGGAGATCACAGGAGAAGATTCCAGGCATGTGTTGTTAGTGTATTATCCCTTCTTTTTGCATGAAAAACGATAGTCCCATGTAAGTGTTAACATGTTTTTAAATCACCCTGTACAGTAATGTGCACCAATGGTTGCACCCCCTTTGTGTATCCACTACTGGACAAAGGCCTCTTACTGGGTCAGTCACGAGATTTGACGATACTTCACCACTCTAGTCAATGACCATACTTTATGACGGGGTGGTGGCCTGACCCAATGCTAGCTTGCTTACAGCTTGTTGTAGAGGTTTGCAGTTTGAATCTGGTAGATCGCACTGGTTATTGTTGAGTGCTAACAGTGGGGGTTAAAGATCACCTGATGTCGTTTGAAACGAGAGATACATTGTGTACTGTACTATCATCATGGTCCCAACTTGACATTCATAATAAATCACCTTGCAAATTACTCCTTTGGAATTATATACAATACAATCCTGATGATCGATAAATTTAACACAAGAACTGTGTAACACATTCCAGGTACTTGGGATTATACATAGCAACTATCGTCCCCTACTGTCAGATTAATGTCCCAGGTCACTCTTAGAAATGAGACTATTCTGATTACTTAAGTTCTCACCAGGTTAAACAAAATAAACTGAGTCCATATGTATAATCCTCAAGATCTGTTGGCCAAAGTATTTATACGTTGTAATTGCACAACTTTATTATTACAGGTAGTATAACGAATTGTATGTTACAAAAAAATACATGGCACGCAACATATAAACCACGGACACCAGATTCCCATTTTATAGAGGAGTATCTTTATTAATAACTTTGAGCATAGACATGCCTTCTGAAAAGAGAAAAGCAACACCAAAATGCAGCTGTGTTTACATGCATATTATGCTTTTTTGTTTATATATTTGCATAATTTAGTATTTAAAAGGTCAAGTGCTTTTGTAGATATTTTTTGGTACATGCAAAGAATTAAGGCAAAGTTGTGTTAATACAGACATGACTTATAAATGACTCTTTGGCAAATATAACAGTGTAAAGGACGACATTATAGGGCTGGTTCCAAAGGTGTTGTTGCAACAGGTAACTTATTAGTCGATTGTACCGCCACTGCTGGTTTTATGGGTATACAACCGAGCTATAGGTCAAGAAAAATAGCATAAAAGTCCAACCAGAACGAACTCGCAAATCCAAAATCTAGAGGGAAACTATAAGTTGTATAATGTTATACTTTCTCATTATTTATGCAAATAGCTGTAGGCACCTGCAGTGCCTAATACAACCAAGATCGCTCAAACATAGCCTTAAAATAATTAATGATTAGACATTGGTAGACTATTTTAAATATTTACAACTAATAGGTAAACCTTTAAAATTGGGTTAGACATAGAACGTGTGTATTTATAATGGCTTTAAAAAGTCCACATTCTATGCAAGTTCTAGTTTATACGTGGCAGCCAGGTGGATCCCTTTCCTCTTAGGATAAGTAAATAATGAACGTTTAAAAATATTCTATAAAATTAACGAATGCTTTCTGACTTACATACCTATTGATGCTGCAACCAAAAAAAATCACGAAAAATTATTTAATGAAAAATACGAATACGTTCCTCTCTTGCTCTATTTTCATATACATCCAGAGCCATATCTAGACACGTTTGCGGCTGGCGCAGGGTGCCTTCTCAGGATCATTATGTTTATTTATACTGGAGGAATCCGATGAGCCATGAAGCTCTTTTTTCACAGATGTCCAGTCGCTGTCCATCTACCCCCCCACCCCCCGAAGATGCTGCAGCAACAATGAGCCGCTGCCACCGCTTGCTTCATATCCAACAATTGGGTTTTACACACGCGGGCAGCACCAGCTCCCGCCCTCACTACGGCACCGAAGACACGATCTTGCGATACAAACTGTTGACGTCCCGGTATATCTTCACCCTCCCGTGAGCGAACTGCAGGTCCGCCGGCTCTGCCCTGCTGCCAGATTTCGGGACGAGGGGCAGCAGCAGGAGATCGCCCACGGGGTCCGGGACGCAGCGGTGCTGCAGCTGCGTGTACGTGAGATTCTCGTCGGTGTTAGGGTCAAAGAAGCCCTTGTTGTCGTCGCTCAGGTCGGCCAGGGTGCACGTGATGCCCCTGTCGATGAGGCCCCTGGCGTACGCCACCTCGAGCGGCAGGCGGTGACTGAACGTGGGGTCGATGATTCCACCGGTGGCCACCTGCGCCTCCAGCAGGCGCAGGCCGTGCACCCTCACGATCATCCCACGCTGCATGGCCTGGAAGAGCGAGAGGTGCTCTCCGGTAATCGGGTCCTTGTAGCCCGTGACGGCCTGCTCGGCCGACAGCAGCTTGTCGTAGAACTCCGGGCCAATGACCCCGTGGCGCATCGCCTCGTCCACGCTCAGCTTGCGCCGCGTCTCGGGCTCGATGATGAAGCCCGTGGCGGCCTGAGCTTCGAGCAGCTGGAGGCCCGAACCGGGCCGGATGATCTGCCGCCGGATGGCGTTGTAGATGGACACCCTCTCCCTGACCGATTCGATGTAGAGGCCACCGATGACCTTGTTGCCCTGCAGGTACGGCGCCAGCCGCCTCGAGGCCTCCTGGACTGTCACGGCCCCGCTCTTGATTTGCGTCGCCGTTTTATGATCGATCACCTTCGACGAGATCAGCTCATTGAGCGTCACCGGCGCACGCAGGCCTTGCAGAGTGACCTGAAAAGAGGAGAGAGATACCCGTGCAGGTATTCAATGCTGCACATACGAAGAACACCCATTGGAGAACGTGTTTAAGTGGCACGGGACACGGTAGGGCGCTGTAGCCAGCACCGTGCCTGGCCACCTTTGTCTCCCTCATTTAAGTCTGAGTTGACCTTGGGGAGACCCAGGACTGCTCAGATATAATTGCGACTGTTTCCATGGCCAGGAACTCAACACTCTGCCACTATTCTCTGCACACATTCACACACGGAAATACATCAAAAACATAACTGCAGTATGTGCACAACTATTTGATATTAAGATCTTGCACACTTCTAAAGCATTACCAAGTAAGCACGGTTGGCTCTGCACGGAGCGATAGAAGTTCTCATACATACGGACATATTAGTGTATTATTACAAATGTGCTCATAGACATTGCCCTAAAACACAGCAGAACAATACGTGAGTAGTAAATTAATAAATACGCTACCTCCTGTGGTTTTGTTTCGAGAGATGTCCTCTCAAGCGTGCCTGTGTACGTTGTCGAAAATGCAGGAGCATTGCAATCCCACGCGCTGCATTCATTGTCCCGGTGCCTGGCAGAGTGATCTTCAAGTGACGCAGCCTGCACTTGGGTGATCGCATAACTGGTGCTGACATCCATCGTGCTGTTGAGTCCCACTCCAGGAGTAAATGTTGATGAATGACCGGATGCAGCTGAATTTAGAAAACAAGGGTCATACTCATCTCTGTATATTCGCTCATTTGCCGGTGGTATATGCAGGCGAGCGGAACTGGTTTCACTGACGGTCTGCAACAGTAGCTCCAGCTCGCTCTTCATGCACTTAATCTTATCGTCGAGTGAGCTGTCCCCTTGAAACATGCTGGTTTTTTTCCTGCTTTGATGAACCAAAGTATTTTTCGTGGGCCTTTCCGTAAAAGAACTTCCGTCTTGCACAGTGGCCTCTGCTTCCTTCCTGATTTTCTCCGCCCTGTAGTTTTTATCATATTCACCAACGGAGGCGTGATTCATTCTTGCAGAAGGCAGCTGAGGAAAGTATAACCCCTTGGATGCCATTTTGGAATTATTAAATAATATCACCTTACTAGGTTGGCTCTCTGTCGCGGGATGCAGCTGAGGTAGCCCCGCTGTGGTGAACACATGAGGAAGTCGGTAACTGTTGTACGATAGTGGGACAAGATTATCGCTGGCCAATGTCACTTCCGCGTCTCTCATTTCCTCGCTTGCTTCATTTGAGCTCTGAACCCAATCATGTTCAACTACCACTTGCCTTTTGTTGATATCCGGAGCAACAGATGACTCTTGCAGTATTTGCCGAGCAACCCCAGTCACACCAAACCCCCCATGGTACTCGTCACTGTATTTCAGCCCTGAAAAATCACCGTCGGTTGCCATGCTGTAATGTTCACCCTGACCTGACGTCACATACATTCTCGGGCGTTCAACGTATCGTAGACTTTGGCCAGGAACGTAGGCGGTTTCCTCCAAGAAAAGTTTATTTTCTGTTACTGATATCCATTGCTCAGGGATTGCTTCATCGTAGCCATGAGAGTCAGTGGAAGAATCTGCATCGGTAGATGTCTGTGCGTTGTTAATGTCCATTTTTATTTCAAATGCATTCAGCTCTCTGTTATTAAATGCATTTTCCTGGTTTTCGCCACCCTGCGACAGCAATTTGCTGAAGTAGTATCTCTCTGTCTCCACACTGTCAACTACAACCTCGACATCTCTTTCCTGGGAAGGATGCTCCTGAATATTTGTTTCAACAATGACGTTTGCGTCAATGTCATCCGATTCATTATGACTGCCAAAACCGTTTTCATTCGGGTCAACGTCTAACTTGGCTTCAGCAATTCTTTGAACGGAAATTTCTTCTCCCAACATATCAGACCCATTAACTGCACGAGCATAGGTAACATTGACCCCCTCAGCAACTTGACCAGGAATCACCATTTCATTTGGACCGCTTCTTGCGACAGACATTCGCGAGTCGGATGTTTTTGAACCCACGGTGGGTTTCCATATATATTCCTCCACGTATTGACTTGAGACGTTCTCCTCAAGAAATGGGATCGAGATGTCACCTTCTGGACTTGTGTTTGAGAAATTCCCTTCCACGGTTGGTGTTGAACCGCCCTTCACAAATTGGTTTGAGGTGTCTTCCGAGGATGAATCTGAGGTGTTGTCATCCATGCTTGAATCAAATTCGGTACTGTTTAGTGTCGATTTAACGATGTCACCCTCAGTAGTTGGTATTGCGCTGTTGTTTTCTACATCTTGGTTTGACAATGAGATAATTTCTTCCTCTGTTCGTCTCGATATTCTTTCTTCAAGCAATATGTTTGTGACATTCTCTTCCACAGTTACGCTTGGTTCACAGGTATTCTCTTCTGGCGTTAAGCTTGATTCTAACAGGATTTCACCCTGGTCTGGACGTGAAATTACTTCATCAACTGGTGTTTTTGTAATATTTCCATCCGTAATTGATGCTGAGATGCTATCGTCCAGAGGGGATTCATCGCTGCTATATTCTTCATTTGGATTCAATCCATAATCAAAAGAGGTTGTTGGTTCTTCGAAATAGTTTTCAACACTTTGGACATGTTTTAAAATACTCTCATTTCCAGTTGATGTTGGGTTGACTCCTTCAAATGTTGGTATTGAGGTGTTGTCTTCAATTGATATGTCAGTAACAGTTTCACTTACATCCAAGTTTGTTTGTACTTCCACTGCATTTGAAGCATCTTCTTCAATATCCGATTTTGATATATCCTCTATGCTGAACTCCACAGTCGAAATGCTGTCATTTAGCGCTGACATTGAGATGGGCTTTTCATCACTTGTTACCAGAATATCTTCCTCCAAGCTTGGCTTTGAGATGATATCTTCCGCAACCAATGTTAAGGAAATATCACCCCCTGAACCTGGCTTCTCAATATCCTTGTGCACAGTTACCTTTGAGATAAGACCATCCAAAGTTGACACTTCTGAATCATGTTCTTCTGAATTATTTTCAAGAGTGTTCTCCTCCACAGTCTGGCTTGAGCAAGATTGTTCTACCTTTGGTTCGTATACACGTTCCTCAAAGGCCGAAACATAGATATTCTCTTCCCGAGTTGTTTCTGTTAACTGCTCACCTTGGCTCGGTTGTGAGATGTCACCACAATGAACAGCATGGCTCCGTTGCTTAATAACTAAATCGGATGTTTCACTATTTGCATCAGCCTCTTCAAAATTGTCGTCAGCAATCTGATGATGATTCACCACTGGAGGAATGTCATCTTGCTTTTTTAAACTTCCAGTGTCCACATTGTTCTCATGGGGAATGAATTTGGTATTAAAAGCATGGCTAAGTGTAGAGCTTTCAGTGTCAGGATCATCTTTGGATGATAATTCTTGTTCATCTTCAAGGTCTTGAGTTGGTATTGCTCTTGCCCATTTGGTGACTCCATACCGAGTTTCCTGCGTAAAAATACAACAATTACATTATCAGTTTTCACCAATACAATATTCCAATCACAAGTAATGGACTACAATTGGCGCACGCTGGCAGGCTGCAGGAGATGCTGAATGGCTTGCGGAGGCTGTGGAGGCTGTGGAGGCAGGTGCATGCGGACACGGAAGCTGCGCTGCTCTGGTACACGCTGTGAGAGGTCACCACCGTGCACACGTGGACACTCACAGTGGTGCGTAAATACAAAGACCCCCGTATAGTCTTTAACAGACTTGGGGCAAGTGCTGTTAGGGTGCACCTATGAAGGCCAGCACGGCACACGAGGGGTGGGTGGCCAGCACCACGCCTGGCCGTCTTTGTCTCCCCAGTAGCAATGTTTACACATCGCACCAGGTACTATTTTTCTAGGCTGAGTCGACCTAGAGGAGGCCTAGGACCGGTTCAGATAATTGTCACTGGTGTTGGCCATGAGCGGGAATCCGACCCGGGTCGCCGAGTCCGTAGCACAGCGCGCTGACCGCTGCGTACACATGCAAACACACGCACGCACAAGACAGTTAACACCTTGTAATGATTACACTAAATTGCATCATCCCAAAGTTAGTTTGACTTTGACCCCCTTCTTTGCAAGAGCATTAATATTTACTTATTGAGCTTGAGGATGCAGCCCTGCAGTTTCTTGCTCGCACCGTTACTAGCGGAAGAGCCTCTGTTCGAGGGAGCTGCAGAGACGCCCTCTGGAGGGCACTTTGGCCGACTCTTCCATGCTCATCAGACGTCGAGGAAGAGGTTTAAGCACCCACATTTTAACCCACCACACGCTTTTGAAAAATAAGTGAATACCTCAATGGGAATTGTCTGGTAGGATGGGGATGGTTTAGTTTTATCTGTATGTGTTTGGGCGATTTGTTTATTTTTCTTGTACTTGGTATTGTATTGTTTGTTCATGTTCCTTACCTGCCCTGACTAGATATCTGTGAAAAAGAGCTTTATAGCTCACCAGATGCCTCCAGTATAAATAAATATTCTGATTCTGAATCAACTAACTGTGGTGTACCCATTTAGAAACTGATGGTTGGACAAGAGGCGAGGGGCCGTGATTTTTCTTTTTAACTTGGCGATTCTTTCAACTGCCATGCCATGAGATCGAATCGGTGACCTCTGGATTGAAATTCCAGGGTATTAACCACTACATCATGGGAGGATCCATTTATTTATAACGGGCTATTAAAATTTGTGTTGTAAAGTACAACCACTGCACTTCTGTGCAATGTGAATTTTAGATATCTCGAAAACAATTTCACCTCTTCTTGAACACATCAAATGGTTTGTACGCAGCACAACTAAAATAGCTTTGTGCAATTTACACTTCAGGCATGTTTCATATATGCCGTTACAGGCGTGTGCGCTTGCAGAATCGACTTTAATATAATCATCTGCACACAATGCCCAGCGTGGCGAGCAAGCAACAACAAAGGGGAAGAGAAAGGGAAAATGTCAATGGAAATAAATAACAAAGCATTCGTAGTACATTAAGGAAATGTTTGCAGACCCATAAAATGAAATGGCTGAGAAAGCCTTCAGTTTCTGCGAGCCACAGATTGTCCATGCATGCTTCACCACACATTTCAGTTTTTGCAGAATCACGAAAGGCCGAGGGAAGAATCTGCGCTGCTTGAAATGAATTGTCTGGCATTTACAGTGAAGAAATAATACAAAATGATCAGGCAACAACAACGATGCATGAACGGTCACTAAAGTTGACAATGTGTGTAAATATAGGAATGTGCTTTTATATAGAAATTCCTAACCCTTTTTCAACCATCGAACAAAGACGGTCACTGCATTGTGCACCTTCAGATGTGCTACTGCGGCCGTCTGGAATGCTCTACCTTCCGTTATTACGAAGCCACTGGAGCTATGCACTTTTAAATTTAGATTGAAGATAATTCTTTTTCACTGCTTTTTGTGTTTATATTCTTGTTCTTCCCCCGCACCTCTGATTAGCACGGTTAGATACGTACGGTGCGAAAGAAGTTCAACATACATACGACAACAAACCATTAACAGTCCCTAAAGTTGACTATGTGTGTAAATATAGATAAAAACCGCAAACATATATATGTAAAAACACAAAAAAACGGAAGAGAAAAAAAGATTTTAGCCTCAGATGAAAGGCAGCAAAAAGGAGCATTGTGTCAAGTGACCCCAGGGGCCCAAGGTGAGCAGCCCAATGAAACAAAGTAATGCAGCGGTGAGCTGTACGCTTCAGAAAGACATTGCGTGCACTCCAAGGACAAATCCCTGGCGTCAGCGTCACTAATGATGTTATTGTTAAACGAAGTATGCAATGAAATGGATAAGGCATTTTTAGATTTCAATAAAGTTTTTGTAATTAAATTTTGGGTTAATACATTACAAAAAAAATATGTTCTCTTCTAAAAAAAAAAGAAAAAAATGCAACTGAATGTTTGAACAGAATCATACAAAACAGGTCTTGCCCCATAAATGGAAAATCAATCCAAACTTAATTTTCCTTCCCAAGGAATTCCTCCCTTCCATAAATGAGCAATTCAACGACCAAGACAAAAAATAATAATTTAAAAAAACCTGCTGCTGGCTTTGGCTTGCAGAGCTGCCCCTCTGCATTTCCAGCATCTGCGCCCTGAGCGTCTGCAGTTCAGCTTCCACCTTCTCCTTCTTGAGCGTGACGTCCCTGACCTCCGCCCGGAGCTCCTCCTTTTCCCCGGCGAGCTGCAGCTGCTGGCCCCGCATCTCCCGCAGCAGGGCCCTGAACCCAGCCAGCTCCCGCTCGGCGCCCTCCCTCTGCGCCGCCGTCTCCTCCAGCACCGCGCGCTGCCGCTCCATCTCTCGCTCCGCACACTCCCGCAGGTGCAGGGCCCGCGTCTCCGCCTCGCCCCGCTGCTGAGCCGCCCTCTCCGCCTCGTGCCGCAGAGACTCCGCCTCGGCCTGGGCCCGGGCCCTCGCCGCCGCCTCTCCTTCCGCCAGAGCCTTCAGCCGATGCACCTCGTCCAGCTGCCGCTGGTACCGGGCCGTCTGTCGGTCCGCTTCCACCTTGGCCTCGTCCACCTGCGACATGATGATGTTCACATTCTCCAGGCGCACCTGCGCCGCCCTGACACATCGACCGGACAAATCGCCGGCGGCACTCTCTTCCCGATGCTGCCAACTCATTTGCTTGATTTCCATGGCCTCCTTTCTGAGCCTGGAGAGCCGATGGGCTTCTTTCTCCGCTTGCTGCTTGAGACCCAGCGCCTCCTCCGCTTTCTGCCTCAGCTTCTCCACCTCGCTCATCGCCGACTGGTACAACGCTGCCGCTTCCTTCTCCGCTCGGGCCAGAGCGAGCACTTTCTCCTCCGCCCCGCACTTTTCCTGCATGGCACGCTCCGCCAGCATCCTCTGGCGTACTGCCTCCTCCTCAGCGCGCCGCTTCAACCTCTCCGTCTCCGCGGCGACTCTTCTCAGCTGACTCATCTCCTCCTCCATGTTTGCTTTGTCCCCAAACAGCTTAGCCATCTCAGCTTTCAGCTTCTCGATGTGGGCCGTGATCTCTGCGTTCTTGTAGCTTTCCTCCTGGCTCTGCGCTGCACTCTTCGTTACGACCATGCTGCTGCTGTGGAGCTCCTGGGTCATTGTTATCACTTGCTGCTCCTCTGTGACCGTTTTTGCTTCGACGTGACACAGCTCATATCCTGGCTCGTCCGTCGGTGTGCCGCTGGTGTCTCCGCCGCGTTGGGACGCGGTTAGTTGGGTTACAGCTGGTCGAGCCTGCTCTTGGCTCACCTCAACAGAGATTATGACATCTTCCTGAAGTGCCCTGGCTAAAGACTTTTGGGGTGTGATGTCAACTACATCTTCCTTTGTTACATCATGGTTCTCATCATTTCCTGTAAAACTCTGCAAATACAAACAGGAAAATACAATGAGCAAAATTATTATTATTATTATTAGCAGCCAATGTAATGGCATGTTAGTTGTGATATAATATATAGCCATGAGGAATAGCAAATCAATTACATGTAAATATATATTAACATAAAATAAAGAAGACTAATATAATATGACATTACTGTACACCACAGTTAGTCGATCGACAGGTTGCGTGTAATGGGGTAAAGTGTGGGTACTCCCACCCATTCCAAGATGTCTGGTCAATGTGGAAGAGTAGGCCAAAGCACCCCCGAGATAGGCTCTCTACAGCTCTTCTCGTGAAAGCCCTCCTGTCAGCAGTGGCAGGAGCTCATCATTTCAGAGCTGCACCTTAACCTTTATACACAGCGTCAACATCCTACTATTATTTACTGTCAACACAATTGACTAGATTGTCATGATAAATATACAAATTCTTCTTTTAAATGTTCATTGACTTTGCAGATGCTCAACCGACAATCACAGCGCAACTCCTCCCTTCACGATTTTTTCCGCACCTCCGACGAGCATGGCTGGCTACACACGGTGCGAAAGAAAGTTCAACACACGTGCGTATACAACAACAACACACAGTGACATTTAAAACGAACAGTCGGGGGGTTGCCGTAAAGATGGCTTGCCGCGGCTTGTGAGGCCCCATGGCGTGTTGGGTCGCCTTCTCCTCCATCGCGGGGCAGAGGGTGAGGAGAGACGCCGTCTCCCCGCAGCTCCACGCTCACCTCAGAGGGCTTCCTCGCCCTCGCCCGGGCTGGAGGGGGCGTATAGGCTGTCGCAGAACCGCGCAGAAAATAAATGCCCATGGCAATGACTAAGCGGGGAGGGGGGGAAATATCAAGGTGATCTTCATACGAGTGAGAAATCAATTTGAAAAAAATGTATATATATTTGTATTGTAGGAGCCTGGTACAGAGCACAAAACTTCAGCACGAGGTGGGAGGAGGGGTACAGAAAGTGCCATTCCCAACATTACGCATCTGGGTTTAAAGTAGGGGAGAAAGTGGGCTCCCCCCTGAGTGAGAAATCACCTTGAATTTTCTTTGGGTGGCCACGTTATCGATTAACTCATTCATAATTAGGTTTTTGGGGGGGTGTTTTAGGAGGGAGGAGGAGGGTGGGGGGTTCCGATCTTGTGGGTATATCATGTGAATGAGGGCTATGCACCATCCATCAGCAGACACAGCCAACCAAATCAAGTTTGACACCCTGATGTTTTTTTAGCAAAGCGGTTCCGTTGAAAAGCAAGTATAACTCAACAATTATGCACTGTACGAATTTTATATTGACATTTGAACCAGCATCATCATCAGGTTTAGCAAAAGTTCATGTCTCGAGTGAACCACGCTTCAGTGCCTGGGCGATTAGTTAGGTGCCGTGATGTCAGCCATGCAGGTGAACCTGGATTAAACATTTAACTTAATTACAGATTGATTGGTTACAATTTGCATGGTTAAATTGCTTAACAATACCCCAACTTGCTGACCCGCAACCCAAACTGGACATCTGTGAACAAAGAGCTCCATAGCTCATCGGATTCCCCCTGCAGTCTAAATAAAGATTCTGATCAAGATTCTGATTATGAGCAAAGTGCACCTACTGGTGGCGAAAATAGGCCGAAAACTCTAATTGACATTATACTCACACCCCAAAAATATAATAGCGAATCATAATATCGGTCGTGAATGCCTACGTGTTAACAGAAACAAAGCGATTTGCTGTACCTTGCCCGATGGCCTTGAGGAGGTTCTTGTAGTGCTGCTGCGTGGCCCACACGTTGGCCTCCATGTGAGCGTAGTTCTCGTCGCCCAGGATCTCGCAAGTGCTCTGGGTGCCCTGGAACTCCTCGTAGTGCTCCTGCAAGTTGCTCATCACGCTCATGTGCTCCTCCTCCTTCATCCTCTTGAACTGGGAGACGGGGGTGGAGGGACCGTCCGTCAGCATTTGCCAACTCCTCGAAGTGGAGAGGGCACCGAGCAAACCTCGGAGAATCACTGCATGTCACCAAATGAACCATCCAAGGCCATCAATAGTGTCACGAGACAACCAGCCATGAAACGCACAGAGGATCTACAATGCAAACCTGCACTCACTGCTGCAGCTGTAAAACGTCTTCGCACCAGACATTCACCCAATGTGAGGCTTTGTCTAAGTGTTGACGCTTGGGAAAAGCCCAACAAGTCGGCAGATATAGCCACAAAATGTCTAAGCTGGAAACACTGCAGTTCACATGTAAATACTGGGGAGATGATGATACGCCTCCCACCCCAGCCATCCGGTAAATTGCCATAATTTGGGCTCACATTTCAAATCAAGAATCTCCTCTCTTTTCTCTCTCTCTCATTTTTTGTGCCATTGTGTTGGTATTATTTTCTTTTTAGTCACGTTTTGGCCACTGCATGAGCCTAAATGGAAAATGAGCATACCATTTTCAGGTAATTGACATCCATTTAAAATAGTTAATTACGTGCGGAAAATACAACAAAATATGTATTGAGTGCATGCAATAACTCTATATTTAATGACAATGTTTAGTTCCAATGGGGACCGGTATTCTGCTCTCTTCTGTAACTGAAGGCATTAAGAAGGCATTAAGTGACAGGGAAATAATGTGTTCTCATAAGATTTGAGCACAATGATAAAGCATCTGAGACACATCGTTTTAACAGCATAAGATATGTCACCACTCGATGTCCCCAGCACTTCCAACCCAATAAAACCTTCCGCCTACGCCACCAGGTTTGGTTGAACTTCAGAATCAGAATATGTGTTGATACTGGAGGAATCTGATGAGCTTTGAAGCTCTATGTCCAGCCGGGCCGGTCAGAATGCTACAACAATAGAAAAACACGAGAGGAGTGAAAAGTATAGGAAAGGTAAACAAATCACTAAAAAGATACAAATCAAACCAAAATTTTATTTCCATCAGGTAAAGCCCACTTGGTCTCCCTACAACCCAGTCCCTTCATAACAAACATAAAACAATCAATCTGATGGTAATATTGAGCAGCAACTTTCGGGAGATTCCCAGCACACATTGCTGTTATATTTTTTATTATAATTTTCAAATGATTATACATTTTACAAATGATAATCCACTTCACTGAGCTACCATTTGGGGCCAGGCTGCTTCTGAAAAAGAGCTATGAAGCTCAGTGGGCCTTACCTGGTCGAATAAAAAAAAAATTTGTTTATCCTTTCATAGCAGAACCACTCCAAAGTGTCTACACATCACACATCATCACACCACACTAAAATATTAATCAAGCAACACGTAATCACTTGTTTCTCATCTTCTCATAAGCATTATAATAAACATACCCATTGCACCATCATCACAGCACACTCGTATTTTGAATTATGCAGCATCGAACCATTTTTTCCACACATCCTCTTCTCATAAGCCTTGCTCATTTTTAAATAAAAAAAAGACAGCAAAGGAGAGCAGCTGCAAAGATCGAGCTAAGCTCCCAAGTGCGTGCCGCGGAATGGAAAAAAGATTGACAATCGCTGACCTAGACGGTATGCGACCAACGCGTGTACACGTGCATTCCTGCGGTTGCCTTTTCCGCGGTCGCCTGGCCGAGCGTAGGTGAACCGACGCGGAATGTTGGCGGGGAGCGGTGGTACAGCGGTTAGTGCTGCGTTACGAACCCGGCGGCCCGATTTCGGTTCCCGCTCATGGCCAACATCGGTGACGAATATCTGAATCGGTCTTAAGCCTCCCCTAGGACGACTCTGACTCAAATGAGTACCTGGTGCGGTGTGTAAAGATCATCACTCGCACGTGGTGCTGGCCATCCCACCGCCTCATGTACCATTCCGGGCTTCATAGGTGATCACTAACAACACTTGCCCCAACAATCTGTTTCGGCTATATGGGGGGATCTTGGTTTTTACGCACCACTGTGAGTGTCCACGTGTGCACGGTGGTGACCTCCTCTCGCAGCGTGTGCCAGAGCAGCGCAGCCTCCATGTCCGCATGCACCTGCCTCCACAGCCTCCGCACGTCATTCAGCATCTCCTGCAGCCTGCCAGCATAAGGCAAACGCAAGGACAGCCCGCACATGTATGTTTGTATGATGAACCTCTTTCGCACCATACGTAGCCAACCGTGCCAATCAGAGGTGCGGGGAAGGACAACAAACTATGTCAGGTCCACACTCCACACACCAATGATGCGGACATTTTCTTGAGGTTTGTAATGATTTCCCCGTGACCCCTGGCTACCCGTAAATATGTACTTATGTTGAACTTCTTTCGCACCGTACGTAGCCAACCGTGAGAGTCGGAGGTGCGAGGGAAGAACAACAAACTTCACACAAAAAGCAATTCTAAAGAAATTAATTTTCAATCTAGATGATTTAAAAGTGCACAGCTCCACTGGCTTCCTAATGTCAGAAGGAAGAGCATTCCAGACGGCCGCAGGAGCGCATCTGAAAGCGAGCAACGCGCAGCCTATAACAGCTTGCTGTGGATGGTGGCCACGCATCCAAGCACTACTGAGGTTCAACCATGAAACGGGGGGGTGTGTGTGGCAGAGGCGGGGGGGGTAGCGGTGAGCGCTACGCTGCACTATGAACCCAGCGACCCGGGTTCGATTCCCTCTCATGGCCAACACCAGTGACGATTATCTGCCATGTGTAAACATCGTCACGAGGGAGACAAAGGCGGCCGGGCGTGGTGCTGGCCACCCACCCCCTCGTGTGCTGTGCCGGCCTTCGTCGGTGCTCGCTAATAGCACTTGCCCCAACAGTCTGTTACAGGCTACACGGGGGGTCTTTGTCTTTGGGGGGGCTGGGGGCTATGTGGCAGTGGCTATGGACAACAACAACACAACCCGAGAGCACATCGACCGGGGCGGCCTCGACTACCTCTCTGAGGCAGCGATAGCCTCCCCGTTGGGAGGCAGGATGATGTAGCATACGGAGGGCACGGTGGCTTGCGTTCCGCCCGGCAGGAACACGCGCCAGCACACTCGCCGTGAGTTGTCCTGGAGGAAGTACGCCTGGTCCTTCTGGCACACGCACACCTGAGTGGGCAAGAACGAGCCTCGTTCATGAGGAGACTCTTTTTTTACGAGAAACATTTTTTTTAGGGGAAAAAAGAAAAGATTTCTGCCACTTTGGCCGACGTTGCAGTTTTGCCACAAGAGGTGAATAATTGCTACTGGCAAAGGAGGTTCTAATGGTGTAAATGCTTACCCTGAGCTCTCATACTCTGATGGTGCATTGTCTTTGAGTTGTGCGCCTTTTGGCGTCATCTGGCCCAACACCATGTGAGACTAGGCTCTAAGGAAAGCTGTCTCGGGTGTGGACCAATCAATATCAAGGACAGTGCATACATTATCAGAGTTGTGTTTTTGGTTTGCATTCCGACCGCAGGTATTGTGGTCATTGCAAACATGACTCCTTGTAAAAAAGGTGTCAGTTTTGTTGCCAGATAAAAAGGTAAAAAAATGCCAATAAATGTGATTGTCTGTGCAGGCATCAGATGCGAGTGTACGTCATTACAGCAGACTGTGCGCACTACAAGGTCTCTTCCTTTCACGTCAATGATGTGTCCCACTGACTTCTATACGGACTTAATGTCAAACAGTGTCATCCTGATTCTTAACTGAAATGCAGGAAAGAAATTTGCTAAAATTGGAACCACAAAAAACAACCTTGCTAAATTTGTATATCTGTTTACATAAAGCAGGTCTTACAAACACAGTACATTAAATAAGCATTGTACATTAAATAAGCATTGATCCATTAATGATCATAACCTGATATTATCATATACTCTACAGCTATGAATTGAATTATGTATTGTATGCTATTTTTTATGTATTTTACTTTTAAGATATTTAAATATTTCATCCGGATAATCCCTTGAGATGGAACATCTCATTTGCAAGGGTTGGCCATGGTCTCAATTCACATCTTACATTGCAAACACATCATGACTTAAATACCAATATTTTGAATCTGTAACTTATCCATAATAAAATATATAATTTTTACGGAATGTCATTGATTAATTAGTCCTAGGCTTACGGTTACACTTAAACGTTTACTTAGCAAATTGCATTCATAAACTCATGTTAAAAGCGAAGCTCAAAATCTGGTTTAAATAAAAAAGAAAAACCCTGAAGATTTGTATGTTTTCCCAAAGAAGTAAACCGCAATATTGCAAACTTTAAAGGTGTTAACCCAAAGGAACACTGGCGTGAAATCAATGCTACTGTAAAGCAACGTGTTAGTTTTAAAATTAGCATTGAGTGTGCAAGATTCCTCAACATAACCAAAGCTAATTAATGTAGGCGTGACGCTGAACGTGGTCACTTATTCTGACGGGTGTTGCGGTTGTATTTACCGTCAATAAGTTTTAATGATGATTTTTAGTTTGTTTCTCTCAAAAGGCAAACAGGCAAAGTTTGTCGAGGCCCACTTATCATGTAGAATTTTACTGCAGAAAGAGTTTGACAGTTTCTCCATGACACATCCCCTTATTTTTGGCAATATACTTCAAAAGAATAATTTTGAAAAATAAAACGTCACTTGATTACCTCAGCTTTACAATAATTATGTCTTTATAACACAAGTTCTCTATATGCAAGTGCTCTCGATGGAAACGTGTTTGTTTAACACCAATAATGCCTGTACGCTGCATGTAGATCTATAACTCTGAGACTACTGATGTGGTACCGTGTGCATAGCACTGGTAGCCAAAAAAAACAGTCGCTCACGATAATAAAATATTACATAGATCAGAAAGTGAAATAAGCCCATTGTAATAAAACACACACGACAAAAAAGTTGAGAAGCAGTACGTACAAAGATGCCTCATCTAGCCTTGAACAGACTGTTAGGGAAAGTTAGCGAGCACCTATAAAGGCCGACAGGGCACACAAAGGGGTGGGGTGGCCAGCACCATGCCCGGCCAACTTAGTCTCCCCGGTGCTGATGTTCACACACCGCTCAGAGGTACTCATTTAAGGCCGAGTCGACCAAAGGGAGGCCCACGACCGGTTCAGATATCTGCCACCAATGTTGGCTGTGAGCGAGTTCATAGCATGGTGCCCCAACCGGAGCGCGAGCACCGGACGGGCCCCGCGGTGGCTCACCCCGTCCTGCTTGTAATCGCAGATGGCCTTGATGGGCAGGGGGGCAGCGACGGCGTGGTCGGGGCGGCGTGGCTTGAGCTGTACGATCTGCGTGGACTTGCGGGAGAGGTTTCCCACGGCCACCTCCACCTCCTCCAGCCGCTCCAGGATTACCTACAAGGGCCCTCGGTTAAAAGTGCAGTATCGGCAAGGGGGTTTTGGAAAGGCACCGTTTATATTTTTGACGAAAAATGCAGAGAGCACAAACAACAAGGGGCATACATCCTTCCGAGTGAGTGATCAACGTACAGCCCACATGCATGAGCACAGCGATTACCCCGGGGGTGTGATCTAGAGAGAGCGAGAGGGAGAGGCGGGATAGATGGGCAGAGAGATGGAGAATAATAGGAGAGATCACGTGAGGAGTGTACAGGAGTATAGGGGCAAGGCTTTTTTTAAACGCTTTCCAATAAAGATTGAATGCACACAATGGGGTAGCTCTGTCCACGTCTTCCTTTATGTCCATCTGTAGCGAGGGGTGGGGGGCTCTCATAAAGCTTATCCAATCTTAATGAAACTTTAGTGAAAAATTTAGTTGCTGTGAGGAAATTACGCACGCGAAAACTGAGCAATATGACAACAGGTTTTTCCAAACTTGGCGAAAAAAACCTGTGATATTAAAAAAGATTATTTGGCTGAGGATGATGACGTTACACGCCATGCATGTGCCTCACCTCCTGTCTCGATTACGTCATTACGCGTGCTGTGACGTCGCACAATGACACGATTGCATGCGGTGTCATACCATCGAAGTGGCTTGAAGCGTAATGTTATTAATAATTATCGCTCATGGTAATACTTCCACGGATAAACGCATGTTGGGAAGCGTCGCAGAACCTATTGCATGTCAGCAGCGGTCGTGAGAAGCACATGATTTTATGGCCATTAGCAAGAAAACATAACATATTTTGGAAGGTGTGCTAAGAAGCATGGAGCGGTGCATGCTTGGAATTACATCGAGAGACAGGAAGAGAAAGACATGGACAAGAGAACAAACACAAGTTAGTGACAGCATATTAAATCTTTTTATAAAAGTAAGTGGGCTAAGGCAGGCCACATTGGTAGGGGGGATGAGAGCTAGTGGTCGAGACTAACAACTGAGTGGTGGCATATGGAGCAGTGAGACAAGCTTGTGTGCAAGAGCTCGCGAGACATGCCTGTTCCTGTACGTACGTTGAGCTTCTTTCGCACCATATGTAGCCAACCGTGTTAATCGGAAGTACAGGGGGCTGGTCAATAAAATAAGCACAAAAATTAGTTCTAAAGAAATGAGTTTGTCAATGGAGATGATGTAAAAGTGCATCGCTCCAGTGGCTTCCTAATATCCGAAGGAAGAGCGTTCCAGACGGCCGCAGAAGCACATCTGATGAGGCCCGGGTTGCCACGGCGTTCATCTACCAGTGGATAGATCATAGCTGATGATGATAATGAGAATGAGCAAACCCCCCAAACCGCCACCCTCTCTTAAATTAGCGTTTAACAGGAGGCGGAGCGCCATGAGCAGTGAACAACTACTTCAAATAGGCGTCACTCGAACAGCACTTGCCAAAAAAGCAGGCCAGGGGCGTCTCAAGCATTACACAAGCAGGGGCGCATTGCACACAGAAGGAATCAGCGGGCACACATTTTAATGCGGGTTGAAGTGTGCGTGCGTGCGTGCGTTTATTCCAGCCGTGCGTGGAAATCCCCGCCGGCCTGTGAGTGTACGCACGGCACAGAATACACGCGAGTTTGCCAAAAAAAAAATGTGCGGCACACCGCCACCTCGCCCCCCCCTTCCTCCTCCTCGCCCACCCCGTACCTCCTCAGCAGACGTGCCTCAGGAAATTTGTACGTCTGGCTTTTATTTCTCGGAGCTATTGTGTTCGTAGCATCACATGAAAATTAATCGGGAAATAAGACCTCTGCGAAGGTTTTTTTAATTTTCCGAAAAACACCCCGCGAGGCATCCACTCGACCGACGATAACTCGATCCCCCACTCCATTAGAGCCATCTTAAAAAACGAAAAACAACTCTGCATATGATCATGTCACCTTTTACGACAGATTCGATATTGTGGGGGGGGGGGAATTTTGAGCATATTTGAATATTGGGGGGGATGTGTCCCCCTCAATATATATTATAATATATTATAATTACAGCCTTGGAATGAACCCAGCCACCAAAGTTCAATTCCCGGCCGTGATGAACATCGGCAGCAGCAAGCGATATCTGAACTCATCGTGGGCCTTCTCCCTTCACCAAGCACGCGCTGACCAGCACGGTGAAGTACGGTTCAATCACCCCCACAGCATTTGGAGGCCTTCATCCAGCAGTGGATTGAAAGTAGGCCGAATATTATTGACGTTATTTTAATAGCAGCCACCCCAACGACTCCATCCAAGGGAGTCTCAGTGGGTCTTGCGTAAGGTAATGGGCGTACCTTCGAAGTTTTCTTGACGTCTCTGTAATCAGCGAGCGAGTTGGCACGTTGCTTCTGCATCAGACCGTGCAGCTCCAGAAGCTGACGTTCGGCATCCTGCGCGTCTCTGAAAAACTGAAATTCGAAGAGGTTTTATTGAGAGCGCATCGGGGTTATTGTTTTTTTATTCCTCAATGATATTTCTCGTAAAAAAATATATGAAAGATACATTTGACTAATATCGTTGCATTGCAGGATAAATAACACTTTCTATTGTAGAACAGGGGATTGCGCACAATTATTAAACTTGGTGGCATGAGTTTAATTCCCAGAAGAGGCTAACATCTGATTCGAATGATACCGACACTATCTTGGGCCTCCCCCTCCCCGAACTACATTAACTAGCATGGTGGAGTATGGCCCCACGACTCAAAGGCGTGAAGAGGCCTTTATCCAGCACCGGCTTGACAAATGACTGAACATTATTTCATTATAAAGTATTACTCCGTTTACTATAATATAGAGGCATGTACTTATTTGCCCACCCCCAAAGTAATTAAATAAATGATTAGAGTCGTGGTAATTTGATACTCATGATGTCCTGCCTTGTTTTTACCACTGTATTTACTCCATTTGTGTACATGTAATATTCGCACGTGCATTTCATATAATTCGTTACGAAAAATAACGATTGATTCTCCCGTACACAAAATTCGATGTGTGCATCGGGAGCGGATGCGTCGATTTTAACCAACGTCTTCGTTCATCCGCCGTCATAACACATCGACCGCTGCGCTTCCATCAACACGCGACGAATTTTGAAATGCCATTTCTACGAAGCACGTAAAGAGTACATCGGAGCCCATTGGTGACCCGTGGCTGAGTCCTTCACGTGGGACTGTGCCCCGAGCTGTTTAGTTCCACACGACATATGCAGGGCAGTGTGGTTGATTCAAAACAACTGGACAGGCCGAGACAGTTTGTGTCGGGGTCGATACTGACAATTTGAACCCTTCATCTGTCCCGCCAACATCTGTAGCTTTTTTATTCTTGTTATCAAAGTCGGTGCAAAGTGTAGATTCAAATCTTTGTTATCATAACTCAGACTTAGGCCCACTGTGAAAGATTCAAAGCCAACATACCAATGTTGTAATGTAATCTGTAATTACATTGAGAACGAATGATACTCATATAGGTATTCGAGATGGCTTCCGTATGAAAAAGTATGGATATCTAAATACAATTTTGGATATTTCACGGATTTTACATTTTGTAACGAATGTAATATATGCACGTAACAATGAGCCCACTATTAAATGTATAAATTTATCATTGTGCTTATCTAATGTTTACTGTGTCATTGTTTCTCGTTTTTTTCTGTCTCACTTGTATAGCTTTGTTCACTCCATTGGACTACAAGCACCACTGCCAAAATCATCGGTACGAATTGTAAATGCCGTTTTTGCATGGCACAATTCAACGCGTGCATCGCGAGCACAATGATAGGTTTTAATCAATGAGCAGATGCATTGTTTTGTGCCAAGCTGCATAATCCACGATGTTTTGCAAATCCCCATCAGATTTCCAGCAGAGCTTGTGCCTCCCCTCAGAGCCTCAAGCAGTCTGTCACATTCTGCAGACGGCAGCTGCCATTGATCCATACATTGTGCTTATCGACTAAAGCACCTTTGCAATTTTAGATTCGTCATTGTTATTATTATTGTGCGTGTTTACCCAGTAAATCCTCAAGATTGTTTCGGGAGGGTCTTGCTGTGTGTTCACAGTACGGCAGGGAGCTATGTTGTTACATAGGATCCCAAATGAGTAATTTGCAGGTATTTTTTTCTTAAGTACAGTAGAACCCCTCTTAACGATGGTAATTGCTTCCACGAAACCGGTCGTTAAGCGATTTGGTCGTTAAGCGATTATAGGAAATACACGGTAAAGGCTTAAATCGTTCCGATAGCATGGAGAGTTACCCTTTTTCACCCAAAAAAACGTACTTAATAATATTTAAACAACGGATATTAATACATAAATATACGAACAACATTAGACACACATAATATAAAAATAAACATGGTTAATTGATGGATTAATTAATATTTACTGTACCTACAACAGTCCATCGTTAACAGGGGAATCGTCGGTAAGCGAACACATTGGGCTATATGGAGAACAACAGGGGTGGTCGTTAAGAGGGGTTCTACTCTACACTACTAAACACTACACTACTATACACTATACGTTGGGCTCTATGGAGGCCCATCGTTAAGCTATTAGTCGTGAACAGGGGTGGTCGTTAAGAGGGGTTCTACTTTAATCAATTTATTTTACAAATCGTCATTCATGAAACTTGCATCTCTAAATGCTGCACATCACAAAATGCTTCAGGTCATAAAATGCTTGACAACATCGAACGAGGCACGAGAACGCCACAGCGAATCAAACATGAGTACGAGCACAATGCGATGTTTGGCCAATGCTTATTACATTACACGTTTTTTTGAACTGGTAATTAGCTCTTTATATGAATAAATAAGGGAGCAATTGTGTCACGTTGCCCGTGAGCAGTTCCAACATCTCGCTGTCGTGGTGAGATATTGACTACCTCGCTTGGCATATAGGATGTTGTGAGTTCGATCCTGACCCTGACGCCTGTATATTTGGAGTTTTCCTGTTCTCCCCGTGGTGGCATAGATTTTTCCCTGGGTCCTCCGGTTTTTCCCTCCACATTTACGAAACATATGTTTAGAGTATTTGTGTGCTATACATTTCCATGTAATAAGCCACTTTGTTGAACTATCTTTTCTGGCGAGGTCGCATCTTAAAAAGAGCTGTAGAGTTCAGTGGGCCTTATCTGATAGAATAAAAAAAGTTTAAATAGTTTAACATTAGGCAAACTTGAAAAAGCATCCTAATAATATTATATATATGTAATATCTTCAATAATGGCGGGAGACGAGTTGACGGGGCAGCACTCTTTATTCCCAACGGTTGCACACGTAACAGTCCCAACCGAGATAACACCTATGTCACACGTGCCTGACTCGGCCACGTACTCCGTCTTCCCCGTGGGGTACGCGCACCTATCTCTGCCTCGACTCAGGCTCTCTTGCTATGCTCTCCCCACGGGGAGCTATCAGACCCCTACGTGCACTCGGCTCGGGCCGTACTCAGTCTCCCCCGTAGGGTACGCGTGCCTATCTCTGCCTTGACTCAGGCTCTCTGGCTACACTCTCCCTACGGGGAGCTATCAGACCCCTCTTGTCAGACTACGGGTCTCGACCACTGGGCTACACAGCCCGAGCCCTTACAAGGGCGTCGGACCGTGAATCCCAAGGCCTTGCCTCTGAGCCTCTCAGAACCCCGGCCCTTACAAGGGCAGCGGGGCTAGGGGTCCCAGGGACTATCTCTTCCTCCATCTTCTGTCTTCACCGGTTACCAACTCCCCGAGTGCCAGCGCGCATCGCCTTACATAGCCCTCCGCTCCCGAGGGGGCGGAGCCTATGCGGACCGCGATGTGAGCACCCACTCGATGTAACCAATCACCACGCGCTGCCTCACGATCCCTCCTGGCAGCGCGTATCACCACTACATGAGCACCCACTCGATGTAACCAATCACCACGCGCTGCCTCACGATCCCTCCTGCCAGCGCGTATCACCACTACATCTACATGGGGTGTCATTTTGAGGGCATTTCTCTTATGTTTAAAAAAGATGCGACTTAAATACAATTGCCATAGCTTTGACACACGCTTGAGACTGAATGCACCATCGCTATCCCAACGTGAAGGAAGGAGTTCGTTTTGTCTGAGAGACACTAGAGTATTTTATGAGCATTTCCTTTCTCATTCGGACAGGTGGACAATTTATTGCCATCTGAATTATGGCCCTAATTCGCTGACTTTCAAAGTCAAAGTAAGCAGCCTTTTCACGCTTCTATGAATAATCGATGGCTGTTGCGGAGAAACGATGATGACGGTCCAGTGAGTGTAAAACGGATGGTACAAAACCATGAATGGGTTGGAGTTACATCTCACGAGACCAATCCTGGCTGCACGGTACTTCCTGCAACTTTGGGCAGACGTGGACATTATTTAACGTGTGTATATATCTCTGTGAGTGACTCTACACAGACACGGACCGAGTCTTGCATTGCATATTTGGTCTGGTGCTCTCTCTTGGAGTCGTGATTATACTGTGTGATTACAAAAATCGTTAGTAAACTAAACTTAAACTAAACAAGTTTTATTTTAGCAGGTAAGGCCTACTGAATGAACTGTATAGCTCTATTTTGAAAAGCGTCCTGACCACAAATGATAGTTCAGTGAAGAAGTGGCTTATCACGTGGAAATTTATCGCAGCCAAATACTCGAAACGCACATTGATTCGAAACGTGGTTGCAAAAAACCGGAGGAAATTCTACGCAACCACGGGGAAAGAGAGAACACACAAACCCAAAAAATACAACAGGCGTCGTCTGGGTCGGGATCGAATCGACGCCCTCCTGCGTAAGAGGAAACACACGTGGAAGTGCCCTGGTGCAATGCGCCACCTGAAAGTAAGCGGTGTTCTCCAGGAGATGCTTCCCCACGCAGAGGCATAGCTGCAGCACCCAGCCCCACTGCACCTGCAGCACCGCCAGGAGGGCCTGGGAGGGCACAGGTCAAGCGGGTCACAGTGGTAGCGTGCCACCGCAGGCGAGCAGTCGTTAGTAGCAGATCCACGGTGTGGGGGGGGGGGGGTAATTCTGCACAATCCTCACACGACGACACAACACAACTCTATGCCATAGCAGCTGACATGTTTATCACAGAGGGGGTTTGCCCGACAGGAGGCAGACGACTTCACAGCCCACTCACTGCGGTGCAGTTTTTACGTGGAACTCCATGCCCTAAATTCACGCAGAGCAGCGTTGATGCACTCACGTCGCCTCTCGGTGACGGGTTAAGGTAAAACGGCAGTGCACATTGACGCATGTGCGTTGAACTTCTTTCGCGCTGCATGTAGCCCATCCGTGCTAATCGGAGGTGTGTGGGAGGACAACAAACGAAACACGCAAAAAAAACATTACAAAAGAAATTAGTTTTCAATATAGATTTGAGAGTATATAAGCTCCAGTGGCTTCGAAATATCGGACTCCATGTTGGGTTATCCGACTGCCGACGGACTGAGGTATAGGCAGATATGTTAAAAAGTTTTGGATATGCTAACATCGATGAAAAATGCTTGTTAAACTACGCACAATAGGTTACTGGACAGAAATAAAGAGCAAACTGCTTTTAACGTGAGAAACTGCTCGACTCTACTTTAGAAGTGAGTGAATGTACGCGAGATTAAGGACAGACGAATGTGCATGGAAAGGTCAGAGTATTTATATGAAATGACAGTTGCACCGTGCACAAATACTGTACTGGGTGTGCCAGATAATTGTTCAGAGCGTATACGTGACATTTGGATATATGATGTTGTACTGTGGTTGTGGAGGTTTACACGTCAATCCTGCAAATTTCATTCCAAGCGATCAATCTCAGCCTGGAGGTACTCATATTGTACACCACTAGATGAGTCGTGGTACAGTGGTTAGCACCATGCTTTGTGATCCCCGAGATCCAAGTGGACTTCCCATCCATGATTAATGTTCGTGGCGAGTTACATCTAAACCGATTCTGGGTTGTCCCTCCGCTAATCCACGGTGCCGAGATGTTAACTATCTCGCCTGGTATACAGGAGTTCGTGGGTTTGATCCTGACCCTGACGCCTGCATGAAAATTTGTAGTTTGCGTGTCTCTTTCCCCATGGTCGCGTGGATTTTTCTCTGGGTCCTTCGGTTCTTCCCTCCGCATTTAGAATCAACCTGCAGTTAGAGTATTTGGCTGCTGTAAATTTCCACATGATAAGCCACTTCGTTGAGCTATCATTTGTGGCCAGGTTGCCTCTGAAAAAGAGCTACATAGCTCAGTGGGCCTTACCTGGTTAAATAAAAATAGTTTAGTTGAATGGTTTGAATTTAATCCCCACTGACCAACATGGTGACAGAAACCAAACAACCGCCATGACCGACACAGAGTGGGGCAAGCCTTCATCTAGTCACGGATTTACAAAGATCTGTCATTATTATTACTCCTGTACTCTATCCTAAGGGGGGTTCCGTTAATGTATTGCAGTTCATTAAACGAATGATGCAGGGAGAAACTTCATTGTGGTATCGTCACCGACACTTTTGTTGCACATTGCTATCTCAAACCTGTCAACCCCTTACCAGTGTCCTACCTTATTACAGACCAATTCAGACCTTATTGGTCACCCCATGCCCTTATAAATATCAATGAACATCCTACAAAGTCCCATCACAAGGGAGAAACACAAACAAATATATTTTTTTTGCCCGTATTGACACGGCTGTACGCCGTATGGACCTGAAAACTCAAGTTCCCTGTAGATGAATGCGAGTGAACTGTATGGGTTAACATGTACGCGATCTACACCTTTCAGTAGTTGTACAAAAGTGTCTGAAACACTCTTCTTCATATCGATCACTGGTAGCGGTTGCTGCAATTTTCCACACTGATATGTCAGAGTTGTATGGTGACTCCATTAACGGTATATTTGGCAGTGCATTGGCTGAGTTGTCAGCATTCTGGCCATACTGTCCCATGATGAGCCACTTTCCCAGTGGCAACAATAACAACAAAAACAACACGTGGAAGTTAGAGTAACCCAGCAAACAGTGTTTATAATAAATGTCAATGAACTCCCAAAATTACTCTTCCCAATTACACCAGTGACTTTTAAGAGTATCAACTGCCTCAGAGAAACAAGCTCACTGATCAACATGCTCTTTTAAAAACATCCCAATCTTTAGTAATGCAGTTGAAGCTGGATTTAAACACGTTCCTTTGGAGCTAGACCAGTTGTGCTTATGTAGTGAGTTCTCAGGGAGACAGACGACGTAGTTGAGGCACACTCTTTTATTTAACCAAAAGGCGGTAACAATACTTGAAGGGGTAATGGCCCCTTCACCCGTACTCAATGGGGACACCCCTAGCACTATTCTCCGACTGTCCTATTCCCAGTCCTCCGCTATGAGTGCTAGGGGAGGCTATCTGATCCGGCCCTGGTCAAGCACGGATCCCGGCACCCATCTAACCAGGCCGTGCTCTTACAAGAGCAGCGGTCCTGGAGCTCTTGGGGCCACGCCACTGGCTTACCCTGCTCGGCCCTGACAAGGACAGCGAGCCAGGGGAGTTCCAGGGCCTATTCTGCCGGTTTTCAGTCTTCACTCGGAAGCTTCTAACACACTGGCCCCGAGCCCTCTGGCTCCCCGCCTTTTATAGGAATCCTCTCCGAGGGGTGGGGCTATGGGGGATCACAGCGCCCCCATGGCCCCCCAGGGTTAACCGATGCGGACGTGGATGTAGACACCCGTGTGTGGGTGCAGACACCCTTGTGTTTCTGTCCGCCTTTCTCCCCGTAACAACCCCTACACTTATATCCGAAGTGTGCTCGTATAAGCACATGTTGCTTCTATGAGAACTGTGCTTAGAATAGGCGTGCTTACATGCAGCATCTACCGTATTCCGGGATTGTTACCGCACGTTATTATATGCAGTGGAGGTGAACAACTGGACAGCTGTGCCAGATATTGATAGTATCATAAGGGTCAAGGTCACCTGTGGTCAAGATGCTGTCAATGCCATCACACATCACCATCACTTCCTTCCTGCTGATAGATCCTGGAGTTGTTGTAAAGTTGACACCCAACCTTGAAATTCTGCTCTCATAGTATCCTGCAACCTCACTTCAGGTCTACCTCTTAATCGCCAACCTCTGAGTGTCACTCCAACGATCCTGCCCTCCCCACCCCACCTATCCCGATTGCATCCATGATACGTTCTTGCCAAGTTCCATTCCCAAATTCCAAGCTGTCGAGAAAGTCCTAGTGTCCCCTTGCATGCAGCTGTGTCTAAAGGTCATCGGTTAACTTTTCCAGTTGCACTTTCTCCGCATCATTAGCACCTCCGATGAGCACGGGTGGCTACGTACGGTGCGAGAGAAGTTCAACATACATACACGCATCTTTGCTCACCTCGATAGTCTTCCCAGCTGGGTGGCCCTGCTGAAGCCAGTGCTCTCCGTGCTTGTGGATTTGATTCAACGTCAGTTCCATTTTCTCCAAGTCCTTCATCAGCACCTTCGTCCGAGAAACATTAAAGTTGCATGAGCCTAAATGCCCCACTTTCTGAAGCTGTATACTGCGGCAGCGGTTGACGATTCCAGCCGTCAATAAGCCTGCAGGAGGAGCAGCCACATTTGGTTGTGCACAGTTTTCAGTTCTGTTGGCCGGATATCCCCATTCTTACAAAATAACTATTTGACTTTTTCCCATTCAGGTTTAGCTTACAAAAACATTGTCAAGCAAAAAGAAACATATCGTTCATTTATAATTTCTATGCGAGGCACTGCGCGTAGGTTTTTTGCTGCATAGCCCTCTGATGATGTTTTTTTTCAGGTTGTACCATGTGCCGAATGGCATACTGTCTGACGTTTCGCTCTGTAGGAACAGAAGAAGCTCCTGGCACATGGAGCGAAACATCGGAGACTGTGCCCGACACAGTTGGTTGTGCTACTGGAAGAAAACACGTGGGAAAGCCGAGGCAAAGCTGTGCTTCATAAGCAGTGCGTCCCACCATCAGGGCGATGTACATTTTAACCCCTTTAGAAAGACAGTCTTGTTCTCCTATAATGCGGTAGCTGTGTTCCCGAAGAACACCATGTAGAATAATCGCGTTATAATAAACAATCGAGGGTCAAGCACAGCCCGCGATAACACGTGAGATGCATACGCAGGCTGAACAAAGACTGAGGTGCACATGGGTAGCATCTAGAAGCATCCAGCAGCATCCCACCTTGTGCGATGCTGCCGAGTCAAACGTACAACCCGCTCATTCATCCTCACGCAACGTAGTTCCGTTCACTCAATCGCGTTATATCCATTTCGAAACTGCGTTTTATGCATATATAAAATGTGTTCCCTAATACATTCATGCGATATATCAAATTGGCGTTCATGAAAACACTCGTTTTCGGAGAACAGACTACAAATGCATCTCTCCACTTCCCCACGTGTCCCCACGTGTCCCCCCGTGTCACTGACAGCGTGGGCATCTCTCTTGGCACCCATGTCGGGGTTTTGGTCGCTCCAGTCGAACGACAGCTCCGCCTCCTCCTGCTCGTTGAGATGCATCAACTGCTCCGTGGCGTGCGTGACCAGTACCCTCAAACACTCCAGGTTCTGGAGCCGCCGCTCGGACGAGACCTGGCAAGTTACAGAGAGAGAGAGTGGGCAACATCGCGCAGTCTGGCTGCTGGTGGCAGAGATTGTGACTTTTGTGGGTATCTCCACGGTTGGGCATCTAACTCTGGTGGCTGGGTTCACAGCGAAGCGCACTCATCACTGTAACACCACCCCACCATAACAGTTATTAAGACCCCTTCAAATGTGTCAGCTGTGTAAATAACGACGTGGCTGTCGAACGTGCAATGCATTGGAACACACTTGAAGCACGTGACACGATGAACAATACCCACGACTTGAGCCCATTTCACACACACAAAAAAACATTTATTAGCCAGACGGTTTAGGTCATGTGGAAAGAAGGGATCCGTACATAAATGTTGTGGGTGTAATGCCAAGTTAGCGGAACAGTTCTAAAGCAATGGCAACGTGTAGACCAGGGGTCGGCAACCAAAATAACAAGAAGAGCCATTTCTTTCCAATTCGGTACAAAATTCAGTATTTCAAGAGCCGCAATGCATCTGAGTACATACTGTACATACGTACATATCGTCAAGAAGCAGCCCGTAAAGAGCCGCATGCGGCTCCGGAGCCGTAGGTTGCCGACCCCTGGTGTAGACTATGGTTTAAGAAAAAAACACTGCACCCACCCACAGAGTAATCCAAGTGGGAGGGCCATTTAAAATTCCACGCGACAGGTGTGCCAAACAACTACCGTCTTCTGTCATTGAAAGGCAGGTAGATCAAAAGGTATTGGCAAAAGCCCCATGGGATGCAGATGCCTAACAAAACAATAACAACATACAACAACAACAACAAAAACACCGTCTCATTTTTTTGTTTTTTTTTGACTATGCTCGCTCGCTCCATACGCCACCAGCACAAACTGTGCGAGAGGTTACCGTTCATCACAGAATCAACAATAGCATGGATAGAGTGGAATGCAGCAAACATAACTACCCCACCGGCTGATGCCAGAATAGTCTGGGGGACAAGATTCTCACCAAAACAAATGACGAAAACCCGCCACCAATGAATCAGGATTCCTGCGTAAATGCCTTGAATTACAGTCTTATCGGTACACATTTGTACACACCGCGCGTGCACACACACACAACACACAAGCACACAGCAGATATCCAGCGTGTGCGTGAAAGCAAGTTGCAATGCTTGAGTAGCCCGGGATAATTATGGTGACGCATATTTGAAGAAAGGCTGCTTTGAATAGGAGTCTTTGTATGAAATATTCATATAAATAATAATAACAACGATTCTTTAGGAGATATCTATGCAGGATTTTTTTCTGTTTTCCTTGTACTTGCACATGTTTGTGTGATATTGTATAAAGTGTTTTGTCAGTCCACTGCTGAATGAAGGCCACCCTGTCGGCCTTGCGGGTTGTTTAACCATACCTCGCCACGCTGGTCAATGTGGGTGCATGAAAGGGGTGGGTGGAGCAAAGATGGGTACGGATATCACTCGGTACTAATTTTAGCCATGGCCATGAATCAAACTCGGGTCACTAGGCTAATAGCGCTACTGTTGTGATAACCAAGCCTACCGATGCTTCCCCCACTGCTTATAGTGCATGCTGTGTTATATTATGATACTGATTGTCTACTTGGGAATTTAACAGCCGTTGGTGACACGATTGCATTCCAAACACAATTTAAACAATGAAGAAGATCGATTCTCAACACATACACGCACACACAATCCGATGCACGTTATACTGCACTGCATTGCGACCTTAAAAAAGTATCTATGTCAACCGAGGCGTCATTCAACGCCGAGTATATTTAGACACGTGCACGTGAACGCCGTGCTAACGTGTTCCGACTTTACCCTCACCCTAATCCTGTTTGCACTGCCCATGCAGTCAGTAACGCAACGGTGGTCAAACTGGAAACTTGCGAAATGCGGTCAAAAATGCCACAGAATGCAACATTACAAGGTCACGACAACCCACGGTTATGCCGATGCCCTGTGATCAAAGCGAATGTTAATCTACTCGAGAGGGTTTCCACGTTGATATCAATATGCTACTCTCGAAAGGGTCGCACTGATCTCATAAAAATAAATGCTATATTTTGGATTATGTAAGGTCATAAGCATAGCTGGCTATCCAGTTCATTTAAACAAAAACAGCATTGACTTAATCCGTAGGAATAAACCGATGCATCGATTAATATTGAATTCTTAACTCACGATGCAAGCTGCACACCACGCGTGCAAGTTATCATGACGTTTCGATGTGTATGCTGTAAGTTGCAAGTAATGGCTTCTCGGGACCCGGACACCGGAGGCTGCTACAGCCACCGCAATATCAATAAAATGATATTGATTATTGCATTCAATCGCATCAAGTCTTTTGCATCACAACTGGGCTGAATCATTAGCTCCCTCACTTTTTAATGAATAAGCCAAGCGCAGGTGTGGTCCGGCAGCCAAAGTAACAAGAAGAGCCATTTTTTCGAATGCACGTGATGGATACTAGGAGGCCGGTTTGGTCCATTATAAATAAATAATTGTCCTTAAAGGGCTGCATTCTCCTCCGGAGCCGTAGGTTGCCAACCGCTGCCCTAGCAGATTGATACAACTGGCACGGTAATTTAGTGCAGCCCCGGTTTACATCGGGGGATGCGTTCCTGAAAGGTGCGACGACGAATATTTAAATGATATCAATCGAAGCGATTGACCAGGTAGTGGTAGTAGTAGTTGGTGGTGGTAGTGATGGTAGCAGTGGGTGGTGGTGGTAGTAGTAGTGGGTGGTGAGTGGGTGGATGGTGGTGGTGGAGGTGAAGGCTAAGAGGTGACGGATTACGAGAAAGGACGGACAATGCTGTGAGCGACGTGAGTGTGTGGGGGGTTGAAGCAACGCGAATGGGGTAGCGGTGTTAATAAAGTTACGACTTCATAGTCGGAATCTGACTTCTATACTTGGGGGGGTGGGGGCAAGGATTCGCTTTGTACTTCACATTAGGAACCGCGGGTACATATAATTAGTTATTTTTACATCTTAATTGTGTAATGACAGTCGAGTCAGCCTGCAGTGTGAGTGGACTGGTGGCCACGGGAGGTAGTGACAGGGGGAGTCAGCCTGCGGTGCGAGAAGACTAGTGGCCACGGGAGGTAATGACAGGGTAGTCAGCCTGCAGTGCGAATGGACTAGTGGCAACGGGAGGTAATGACAGGGTAGTCAGCCTGCAGTGTTAATGGACTGGTGGCCACGGGAATGATCGAGAATAGGAGCGTGGCTAGGTGACGTAAGAGGACAGGAGAGTCTTCTGGTAGAAGGAGCGGTCTAGAACCAGCGAGAAGGTTCGAGAATGGAGGCATGTCCACAGACCGTATATAAGGGAAATGCGCGGGGCTTGTTGCAGTGTGGTCTCCGCCTGTCCGAGTGTGTGCACGTGTCTCCATAATAAAGAAAACCTTCCCAGGACAATTGCGTCATAGTCATCTTTACAATTGTAACGAACTGAAAATAAATTGATAAATGTTCCCCAAACTCCACCCATGGACGACGTATTGTGAAATGACGTAAAAGGGAGTGACGTAAATCGGGGTATTGCTATACTGTAATGTTAGACATGTTCAATACCACGATGTGTTTTCAGAGTTTATTATCAAGCAGAGACTTACGAGCAGAATCTGGTAGTGTTGGTACAGCACGCCAAGGTGTTCACCGTAGCACATCTTGTGGTATTGCGAGATATCATTCTGGTGATGATAAAAAAACAATTATAACATGTTAACAACATGAAAGGATATTTCCTACTTAGCCCTTTTAAAACGGCACTTGCATTGCCCATCAATAATAATCATAATTTACTGCCCAAAAAATCCATAAGTCTCAGGAAGGCTTTCCTGAGTGAAGTTGTAGTATCGTTATTAAAAGGTAAATGTAGATGTTCGCTCCGTTTTCAATTCACAGCTGGATGAAGGCCTCCCCCACACTGTATCGATCAAGGGGACTGATTGGTGCGAGATGTTAACTCCCTTGGCTGGTATGCAGGTGTACATGGGTTCATTCCCAACCCTGACGTCTGTATATTTAAAATTTAAATGTTTCTCACCGTAGTCGCGTGGATTTGTCTCAGTGTCCTCCGATTTTTCCCTCCACATTTAGAATCAACGTGCGCTTAAGCCAAAGACTTGCAACGTGCGAGTCTTTGGCTGCTATACATTTCCACATGATTAGCCACTTCGTTGAGCTATCATTTGTGGCCAGGTGGCTTCTGAAAAAAATCTATATAGCTCAGCGGGCCTTACCTGGTAAACCACAACATAGTTTAAATAGTTTTGTAGTTCATAACACTGATCAGCTAGGGTTGATGAAGGGGGGGTGACCCAGGAGCGAATCAGATATCACTCGCCACTGATGTTAGCCATGGCGAGGAATCGAACTAAGGTCGCCGGGTTCATCGTGCAGTAAGCTAACCACTGCACAATCATTATACCAATTTGTACACAGCCATCATATCATTGAGCAAATCATTCTAATACATAGTAACTAGTTTGGACATTTAGCAGATGGCAATGCATAATATATGTTGCTTAACATTCACATTCAATCTATACATATTTCATCCCATTTTAAATGTCAATAAACACACATTTTCAGAGGATGCAAATATATAGGTAAACAATAAATTTGTCAACAATAATGAAATTAATATAGCCAAATATTAAGGGCAATGTACAAAATTTGGCTTATTAAGGAAATGTCATTCCATACAAATTGGATTTAGGAGCATGCTGTGTCATCATAGTGTTCATCATTTATCAGATAAGCAACGATAGCTCCAATGCGTTTGACTTTTCAAGCTGGAAAATTAGCTTTTGCCAAACTTTGGAGGTTAAAATGTCCCACATTGATATGCCACTATCATGCAGGCCTGACAAAGCTGAAAGTTCTAATTAAGCAAATATTTAAGGCCGGGGTTCACGGTCTTATACGTAATAGGGCTTCTGCTAGATGCATTGCTCAAGCATTTCCTGAGGCGTCCAAATCCCCCCTTTGCAAAACATTAGTGGAATGAAGCATCGTACCCGAGTTTAATGTGCGTCATACTGGAGGTTCCTTTATTCATAAAAACATGCGAGTTACTCTCACTTTATTTATTTCAACACAGTGAAAGCTGTACGGACCTCCGACGTGTTTCCAGGCCCATATTGCATGTTGTTTGACAAGATGCCCGACGTTTCGCTCCACATGCTGGGAGCTTCTTCAGGACATGAAACGTCGGACATCGCACCAAACGACAGTATGATCCGAAAACACATCGCAGAGCTATATATACGCGCTAGAGTAAAACAGGATTCGTTCATCGCTTGCATTTCTTGAGAGCCCGTGTCATGATTCAACGGGGTTTTACACGTAACAGTGAAAAGCGCATCCGAATACGGATGCACTTTTTCACCGACAAAGAAGCTGTGATTTTGCCCGAACAACATGCACGCATGTTTGTGTTATCAGAGCATTAAACTATTTCAGGCTTTGCGCTGCCAAACGTATTTTTTTCTCCACCGACAACAATATTTTGGCCTGGGGCGTGAATGCAATATTGTCAAAGTTAAGCCATGCAATGCAAATCCCCTCTGTCTCAACATCCTACGCCCTGCACCCACCGCACAGCTGAGCCAGGACTTTGAGAAGGGTGATTTGGGGTAGAGCTTACATTTAAAAAATGTCACCGCAGTAACTGCGAGGCTGCAACAAAAACATAGGGATGTTTTCGTTACACAACCGCCGATCTCGTGTAAGTCAGCATTTCATTAAGAGGTCGGTCAGCAAGTGCAAGTTGGTGAAGTGGGGAGTGGCAGTATAGCGGTTAGCGTGTTATGGCGACCCGGGTTTGGTTCCCATTCATGGCCAACACCATTGACGATTATCTGAACCGATCCTGGGCCTCTCCTAGGTCGACTCAGCCTGGTGAAGTGTGTAAACATCGTTACTCGGAATAAAAAGGCTGCTGGCCGTGGTGATGGCCACCCAACACCCTTGTGTGCCGTGCTTGCTAACAGCACTTGGCCCAATAGTCTGGTAAGGCTATACAGACGATATTTGCCTTTGTTGTCGGTGAAGTGGGGGATACAAGACTGGTTCAGATGTCACTCGCCACTAACATTAGCCTTGGCTGGAAATCACTCAGGTTGGCTGGGTCCATAGTGCTCAAATCACTACACCACTGTTCCCGCAGCTGAACCACGACTTTGGGATATCCATTTGGGGTAGAGCTTAAATTAAAGCTATCACTGCATAAACAGTAGGGAGAGGCTACTAACGAACAAAGGGATGCAGCTACATACAACTGCCGATCGTGTATCATCCAGAGTGGAGAGGTCAGTTGGCACCATAAGAAAGCCATACACCAACAGCATACACATCCACAACACATCACACATTCATCGCTTTCATTATCCTCATCATTGTCATCAGTTTCAGTCTTCGTCATCCTAACGTTTGGCATATTCTTCCAACTTCCCCTTTCCCCTCACTCTCTTCATAATGCTATGATGGTGACCATTCTCTGATGTCATCCATCCACATTCCACATTCCTTGTGGCCCATCTCATGGTTTTCTGCGCCACAGATTATTCCTGCCGTTGTGTTAAGTAACCTCTCTCCGCTTGAGCCTCTCAACACATGTTCTACGAATTCCATTTTGTTAAAATGCCGATAATTAGTGGCAATCCTCCTTTTAAAACCTCGTCATTATTAATGTCATCCTTCCAACACCACAACAATATTATCATCATCATATTACCATCATTCACGACCACAGAGTGATGAAGTGTGTTCGCAACATCTTAGCATCCTGTTCTTAGTTGTTACACGCGTAGACAACGTGAGGTCAAGAGTTGCATTAGGCCAGTCTTCTTTGCTAATTTTCAGAGGGGTGGCCCATTTCGCCGATAAGACATCATTAGTGCGAGAGCCGCCGAACATTTGCAACCATTGTGAGGTTTGACAGCAGCACAATGATGGGGGGTGGGGGGGGGGAGTTGTCACGTGTCGTGTATTGTCGGGGGCCACACTAAAGGGCACCGGGGGCCGCCAGTGGCCCGCGGGCCTTGCAATGAAGAGCACTGCATTTTAGGGGGCCGATTGAAACACCTGTGCGCCTCAATACCGTACTGCTTGTGAGCACGGGGCGCCTCCCTTTCCGAGTGGGGCGGTTCGTGAATGGCTACAGGTGTAGAGACGGTTGACGGGTGCATTTTGATCATTGGGAATTTGCCATGGGTGGCGAAACTGGATGGGGACATGTAACGACAGAGCAGAGCGTGGTTGAGGGCGTCTTCTCGTGCTGGGGCCGTCGCTGCCATGGCCGGGTATTACAGCGGTTGAAATAAAGAAGCTATCTTCTGCAATCTCGACTTTGTTTGAAGTCCTTTAATATGTCAAGGCACTTCTCATAGAGCTCTTTACATATCCCACACCATCTGATTAGCACAGTATGGTGCGAAAAAAATTCAACACCGCGGGAGCTGGAATCGCAAAAGCCGGGAAAGCGGAGCCCTGGACACCCTTACAAATGCGGTGTTTCATGTCAAAGTGAAAAAAAAAATCTTGCAAAATATGTTTTCTAATTAAAAATATATATATATACACACACAAACAAAACTTGCCTCGTACTTCTTTGCCTCGTCTAGCTTGCTTTTGAAGTTGCTGATGGTGGCGTGCTGAGCGGTTTGCTTCTGCAGGTGCAGGTCGACTTCTCGCATGTCCTTGCCCCAACCTGCGTGGTCCACCTTGGCCTGCGGGAGACGCTTTCAATTATTCACAGCGATTGTCCCTACCCCCCCCACCTTCCTCCCACCCCACCCCAGGGTACAAGGCAGCCCGTGGCGCTCACACCGGGGCTGAAACACAAAAGGAGCTGAAGCCGCTGCATGTCCATTGTGCGACGCTGCCCAGCATTGTGGCAACAAGCAGCTTTTGTTTGCCTGCAAATAGTTTTCCAGGAGACACAAAAAAATCTGATTACCGATCGGCACGCATTGTGTGTGCGTTGATGAGATGACACGAGGTACCAAATGGTACTTCGAGATATTTCGATTAATAATAATGCTAATTTGTAACACGTACAATTTTCACTTGCCTGAAGGCAGCGACCTCACCAACTAGCTGGGCTTTTGGTCAAACACAAGTACAGCTCCTATTGAGCATTTGCAAAGTCAACATCTCTTGTTTGACCATACTTCACCCTGCCGGTCAGTGTGGGAGTGAGGGGGTAGAGGGTCCATGACTGCTTCAGATATAAGTCACCACTGATGTTAGCCGTGGCTGGGAATTGAACGCAGGTTTGCCGGGTTATAGTGCAGCGCGCTTATCACTGCAGCCATCACTTCCCCCGCACATCTATGATACAAACCAAATACAAACTCGGGTGAGGTATAAGGAGATGGTTTAACACAGCAGGTATGCCTTATTTTTCGCTTTTCTAAAGTATAAAGTGGCATTTCTATGATCCTACAAAAAAAACGTGTGGAATTTACAGATTTATTTAATTCTGTGAACATTTCCCAGCCTTTTGTGAGGTTTGCATGCAATGGGTGATGCAAGTTAAACATTGTTTTGTAATCATAACAGTGCCGGCTCAGTGCTCTGACTCCTGCGTCACCTGATCAGTGCGTATATGTATGTTTTTGTGTGTGTATGCTTGTGTTTGTGAGTGGAGCAGTAGTGTTGTGGTTATAACGCTGTGCCACGAACCTGGCGACCCGAGTTAAATTCCCACTCACGGCCAACACCAGCGATGATTATATGAACTGGTCCTAGGACTCCCCTAGGTCGACTCGGCCTCAAAATTAGTACCGTACCTGGTGAAGTGTTTAAACATTGCCACTCGGAAGACAAAGGTTGCCGGGCGTAGTGCTGGCCACCCACCCCTCGTGTGGTCTACCAGCCTTCATAGGTGCTCGCTAGCAGCACTTTCCCCAACAATATGTTACAGGCTAAATAATAAATACATTTGAATGCGATGTTGTCCATTATTGTGTTTCCCTTTCATTTATTGTCAGCACTTCTTTTCATAAAAAAAAATATAACAGATCAGTCACACCTCTTTGTCAATCCATCACTGGCTGACGAAAGTCAAAAAGCCGACTGGCCAGCCAATGCCTGGCCAGTACGGCTTGGTAAAGGAAGGGTACGGGTCCGGTTGAGATATCGCTCAACACTGATGTTAACCATCGCCAAGAGTTAAACTCAGTTGGCCGAGTTCATAACTAAAGCACACAAACCATTGCACCACCACTACCACCACTTATCTTCATGCAAACTTGCTACTGAGCACAATTGTCTTAACAATTTAATTCAGTACCGCTGCATAGGTTTTTTTTTTTGCAGTCGTGAAGTGTAGCTCTCTAACGATTTGTTTTCAGGTTGCACCGCCAGTTGTCCAGCACATTGCCCGACGTTTCGCTCTACAAAGCTCCTGCCCAACAACACGTGGTAACAACCCTGACAACACATCATCAAAGAGCCATTTAAATTAGTTAATTTTCACATAGCCCTGTACTGATAGACTCCCCCCCCCCCACCAATATTATCCATAGTAAAGATTTTTTTGGGGTTTGATGGCGTAAATATAAATGTGTCGTTAGACCCACCACCACCCGACACAGCCAATTAGTAAGGTTTGTCAATGTAAACAAAACGTACCAATTAGTGACGACTTCAGCACACCGGTGGTGTGTTGTTGGAGAATAAACCCACACCATTTCACTGATGATTACAACAACCGGCTTCATCAGGCGACTATCCAGAATTGTGAAGAAGTCCTCCTGTTTCGGTCTCCCACCCACCCACCACGTCTCCACTCACCTGCTGCACGTGCACCCATTCCTGAAGTTCTTGCACGAAGCGCAAGAGCGCCAGCTCATCTGAGTCCATGGTGCTCGCGGGAGAGCTCAGCGTTCGATGGACCCGGAGCAAGGGGGCGTGGGCCCGGCGCTCGTGGGAGCCCGAGTCGGAGCTGCCCACCTCCGAGCAGGAGTCGCTCAGAGTGCGGATCTGCCTGGCGGAGCCGGCACGCCTGCGTTGCGCATCGAGCGGGACATATCGGAATGAACAATCCGATTGCGTGTTCGTCACTCCACGTCAGCTCTTGTCACCGTGTGGTATGTCGCGCGCAGGCACGGAGGAATCCTGGCTGATCTCAAAATAGCGCACATCGAGTTCTGCTGCAAAGAGTTCTAGAGATTCCTGGTTGGATGATAGCGTGAAGGTGACAATTCTGTTAAACGCCAAGTCTTCCAATGCAATGTGCCGCCTATGTTTACGACACTTTCATTTGTTGATGTGTCTTTGAATTGGATGAACAATACATTTTTGCCATTCACCTAATAATCGGAATAAACTGAATAGAAAAAACATGTACTTAAACAGTGAGAGCCATAAATGTATCAATGTGTTTTGTGGATCAGTGGTGCGGTGAATAGAGCGCTGTGCTATGAACCGAGGGACCTCAGATCAATTTTCAGCCACAGCGAACATCAGTGGCGAGCGATATCTGGAACTGGTCCTGGGTTCCCCATTCACCATGTGGTACTGACCAATGTGTCGAGGTATGATAAAAACAGCTGCCGTGTATGTGTATGTATGGGGAGGCCGTTATTCAGCAGTGATTTAACAACAAAAGGATGTAGGTGAGTATATAACAATTATTTACATCTGTTCTTGGCAGTAGTTTGTGAACAATTCAACAGTAATTAGACGTGACATTTCCGTTCATCACGGTGTGGTGACAGGGCCGTGAGTATTGAGTCATCTTTTATTTTGAGTCAATGAACTTGCACATATCTTTGTGATATATACAATCACCTGTTAAAAGTATTGTTTTGCAGTATTATATGAATTGAATTACAATATATTAATAATCAGTCTCCGAAGAGGACGAAATTAAAGCGTAGCAAAACAAGTCTAACGTTTGACTGCTGAACATTTAAGACGCTCAGAATTGCCAAACCTACCACTACTAAAATGAACTTACCATATATATGAAGAATGTACCAGTTTACAGTATAAATGAACTTATATTCATCTATCGGTATAAATAAACAGCGCACGTATTACTCTCCCAAGCTCAAGATGTACAATGTTAAACAAAACTGATCATAAAAAAAGCTATAGTAATCAAAAAACACTGCAAACACGCGCACGCAAAATGTGAAGGCGCTGGGAATTCTCATGAGACCTCGCAATGTAACGAAGGCACTTCAAAAAGCGAGAATGTTAAAGAGTGGTGTACGTCCAATTAAAATTCAGTATTCATTGACACTATTTTCTCGGACAAGTCTCGTCTTGCTTTGGCAAACACACAACGTGTTCCCCTTCGATACAACATCACAGCATCCACGGTCAACTTGCATGGATACATTTCAACCTGGAAGTCGCGAGCACAATCTATATCTTTTAAAAATATATAACAATCAAGAATATTTCGAGTCGGGCAATATACCTCTGATCGTATCAGGTTATATTACATTGACATATAAAACGATAAGTCAACTCATATAGCACCCCTTAAAACGTTCAAACTTTTGAGTATAACAAACCTCAATTGTGTTATTTTAAAGGAACACCGTTCCCTTACGTTTGACTACACAAATTCCCACTACAGCACTCGTATAAACTTCCTAATCAATGATGAGCCACCGTTCTTTTTTGAGAGCACAGAAGTAACAACCCACGCGCACGTCGCAGACGATGCTTACTTGTCGCTCCTCCGAACGTTGCTGTCATAGCCGCCGTTAACTGAAGGGGTCGAGCGAGGTCTGTCCCTTCTGCTACCGCCGTGGCTCGACAACGATTCACCATCGTCCCTCGCGCAAGCCCTGGGACGCTCCACTGAGCTGCGTTTGTAGGATCCTTCCATCTTTAAGGCTTCGTCATCGCACAACACCGCGCGTGGGCAAGTCGTGATCGCAACCCAACTACACACAGTGTGTGGTTGTCTGACAGCATTCTTAGTGGCTTGCCAGAAAGCCAACAGACCGGTTTCTATTTTTTTTACCACCAAATCGTGATCCACGCTGTTCCCATCGTGAAGACAATCGCCACTATTTAGGCACTACCGCTCCTGGCGGTGTAGGGTTTTGCCTGCGCATAAAAACGCACGCGTGCATGTCAACACATGACATACGCACCAACTGGCTCTCCCCTGCCTGTGAGAGGCAGACCACAGACACCCACCCGCACGTCAACACACACCCACAATTCATGCATGCATGATTCACAAACACACTGGTGTGCTGTACTCAAACTCGCGACGAGGCTTAACAGGCAGATGGTCCGTGATCAAATTGCGACAACGCGCACACAAAAAAGGCACGTTGCAGCTTTTCCAACGCAACCACTTTTTTTACGCGATGACATGCTGCGACACAACAGAAATGTGCCATCTTCAATATTAAATGAGTTACAACAATAACCTTTCAAAAGTAGTCAGTCAACCATGAGGCTCATGATAAGGAAGATATTCATTTGATTAGATAGGAGCATTGTTTTTATTGATTTCTACAGTAAACATGTATAATTATGATGCTGTGCTTTACCACAGTTTTACAATTTTGTGTATAATTGTGTTGACATTTCTGGGAACATATCAATCAATACCTTCAAATCAAATGGGATCATGTGTGTAATTACTAAATTAAATACCTGACGTTAAAAAGAAACCTTACATAATAAAAAAAATATGTCACGTACACACCCATCCCACATCCATAAACACAACAGGAAAGGATCTGCCAAAGAGTTAATGGGCATCCAAAAAAAATACACCCCCCTCTCCACCGCTACATTAATTCAATGCATGAAAAGAAGTTGCACATAATAGCATTTATTTTGTTAAGTGATTATGTGTGCATACCCACAGCATTGTAAAAGTGCAGCGGAAGAGATGACAGCATCAGCAGTTGCGGAATGTTGTTGACCTTTTGGCTGACCCTAAGAGCTTAGGGTTACTCTCTGCACAAATATAATACGCAAGCATTTTAGTTGAGCAAAAACACAATATGCCGAATAATTATCATTGCACATGGTGGTCCAGATGTCTTGTGAACTCCAATGAATTGACACCTAACATGTTTTTTTCCTTAGCATATTTATTTATGTTTTCAATAGACCTTATTTTGAAAACATATTAAGTTTAAGAGAATTCAATTGGGGTCATAAGACATCTGGACCGCCCTGTATAGGTTAATTTGCATTAGTTTAATTTACAGGCATTATTGAGAGTGACTGGTATACTTTAAAATATTACTCTTTAATCATGTTTTATTACTATTAATTTAAATATATATAAACGCAGGAACAAATCCCTCGAGAAGTAAATTGATTAAATGCAAGTTAACAGGTTCCTTCGGAGTGGGCAGGTAGGAACTTGGTTGGACAACGCATTCGTGCGATCCGTGTCACGCGGCGCAACTGCGTGGGGCGGCGCGTCACGTGGTCCTGAGCCCCCCCGAAGCGCTCTATGAAATACAAATCGAGGGCGTGGCTGTGCACGACAGACAGACAAATAATCCCTGGTGGGCAGTGTGGAACTGTTGTTTCTACCTGTAATATGTTAACTCTTATCGACGACAACTTTGATTATAGTGCTGTTCATTGCTGACCCGATGACATGTTGGTCTTCTGGATCTGTGCTCAGCAACCATAACGAATGAAAACAAGCCACGCATATTCCTTCGAGTAAAATTGTCCACCGGCAAAATACTACCTCGTGGAGATGCCGGGGATTGAACCCGGGGCCTCACACATGCGAAGCGTGCGCTCTACCACTGAGCTACATCCCCATGCTGGTGCCATCCGGGCGCAGTTCCACCTAGGTACGGGGTGAAACTTCGTCAACAGCTTCTTCCCCTCCCTCGTCACCCCACTCACTCTCCTGTTGGCCCTGGGCCCTGTACCCATCGAGTCTGCAGAGTCCAAGCAAAATATATATTTTTGAAACAAAAATAAATAACAAGAATACATGTGGATGGATCCTAAAATGCTTTCCCAATTTATTTATTCTTGGAAATATTACTGGTAGGAACCTCCTGGTTACACCAGCCCACAGGGGATTATTTTGTCCGTCCGTCCATCGTGCATCCAAAAATGGGAGGGGTGGGGCTGGGTGGAGAGGGGAGGGTGGGGAGGGGCTGGGTGGGGAGGGTGGGGAGGGGCTGGGTGGGGAGGGTGGGAAGGGGCTGGGTGGGGCTGGGTTGGGGGTGGGAGGGGTGGGGCTGGGTGGGGAGGGGCTGGTCAGCCCGTGATGCCTTGATAAAACTCAACGTTTAACCTACTCACACCGGCTTGTGCCAGCCCTCACAGTCGGCCATATTTTCGGAATACACCACGCCGCCGTTGACCCTGGCCATTGACCGAGCAACCCAACGTTCCTACCAGCTCCCTACGCAGGAATGTGTTAAATTCGGAAATAAAAAAGTGTTTTGGATCCTTTTAAGCACTTGTTTTCATCTACAAATTTTTTAATAAACGATTTGATAACTGTGTGCATTGCTAGTTATACAAATAGCAAGTTCCTGAAATCAACAGAAATTAATCGGAAGGAATCGTTCATTTAGGGTAATATTTACGAAAGTTAATGTGCACCCTGATTACAGGGACATTGACACAGCCCATTGATTTTGGAAATCAACCTTTGTCGGAAACATAAATTAACCAAAAGGTTCCAACATGGATATGCCAGGGATTGAACCCGGGGCCTTACACATGCGAAGCGCATGTTCTACCACTGAGCTACATCCCCACCACACTGGGTCAGTCTGAACCCAGTAACGTGACCTCGTTGTGTAAGGGGGCTATCGGGGTCATGGCCTGAGTTGAAGAATCTACTCGGAAACCTCGCAGATCTGTTCCATTTCCCGGTTGTTAGATAGCGGCACTTGGAAGCAAGCATTACCTGGGCTACTTCTGAGGACCATGAAAGTGACATCTCATCCACATTAGGGGTCATCACAAAGAACACACGGCTAGATGAATATGGCCCAGTGGCCTAATGGATAAGGCACCAGCTTCTGGTAGCTGGGGGATTGTGGGTTTGAGTCCCATCTGGGTCTTTAGTGTTTTGTTAAAAATTCAACGATCATATTTCTTCTTCAAATCCCAATTTGATTTCCCATTCAATTACCTAGGCATAATTTACCTCTACTCTTTTCAAGAAAATTTTCCAAGTATCCTGATATAATTCCACTCGTTGAGTTCTCCAGACTGATTTTCGTCTCACCCACTCCGTTTGACCACCACTCGGCAGGTCACACCACTTTTATATCGGCTTCTTCCACGCACTGCACGAATTTGGAAGTCCATGCAACGATATAAAGTCTAATAATACAGGTAGGAACAATATGTTCCACACTGCCCACCAGGGATTTTCTGTCTGTCTGTCGTGCATAAATAAATATATAATATAAACAGCTCTTTGATTGGTGGAGACCTTCTGCCGGGTTCAGAGAGGGGAGGTGCCTAAGGGAGGAGGGTCAGAGGAGGGGCCTAAGGATATTTGGGGGGATGGTCAGTGGAGGGGCCTAAGGGAAGGTGGGTCAGGGGAGGGGCCAAAGGATATGGGGGGTGGTCAGGGGAGGGACCTAAGGATATGGGGGGTGGTCAGAGGAGGGGCCTAAGGGAGGGGGCGTCAGCGGAGGGGGTTGAGGGAGGGGGGAGGGGCCTAAGGGAAGGGGGGTGGGGGAGGGGCCTAAGGGAGGGGGGGTAAGGGGAGGGGCCGATAGTTAAGGGGGTTGGCTCCCTGCCTGGCTGCCAGCGTGGTGGGGATGTAGCTCAGTGGTACAGCGCACGCTTTGCATGTGTGAGGGACCGGGTTCAAGCCCTGGCATCTCCATGTTGGAAGCTTTTATTTAATTTATGTTTCCAACAAAGGTTGATTTCCAAAATTAATTGGCTGTGTCCATGTCCCTGTAATCGGGGTGCACGTGAACTCTGGTAAATATTACCGATATGAACGATACCTTCGGATGAATTTGTCTTGATTTCCGGAACTTGCTGTTTGTATAACTAGCGATGCACACAGTGATCAAATGGTTTACTTAAACATTTGGAGATGAAAACAAGTGCTTAGAAGTATCCAAAACACTTTTTTATTTCCGAATTAAAAATTTCCAAGAATAAATAAATTGGGAAAGCATTATAGTAGCCATCAACATGTATTCTTGTTATTTCTTTTTGTTTCAAAGAAATACATTTTGCTTGGACTTTGTGCAAACACCATGTGTACAAGGCCCAGGGCCAACAGCAGAGTGAGTCGGGTGACAAGGGAAAGGAAGATGCTGATGACGAAGTTTCACCCCGTACCGAGGTGGAACTGCGCCCAGGTAGAGCCACCATGGGGATGTAGCTCAGTGGTAGAGCGCACGCTTCGCATGTGTGAGGCCCCGGGTTCAATCCCCGGCATCTCCACGAGGTGATGTTTTGTCAGTGGCCAATTTTACTCAAAGGTATATGCGCGTGGCCTGGACAAAAACGCCTGCTTGTTTTCATTCGTTATGGTTGCTGAGCACAGATCCCAGAAGACCAACATGTCATACGGCCAGCAATGAACAGCACTACAACCAAAGTTGTAGTCGATAAGAGTAAACATATTTATGGAAATTAGTAGTTTGACGGAGAAAAATAAAGGATTTTACTTTTTTTTTTCCTAAAAAGTGGAAAATTTTGGAAAAAAATTTTCACGAAAATAAATTGTCACGCACAACGAGTCTGTGTGCAAAATGTCAGCTCGATTGGATCACGGGGAGTGGGTTAAAAAACGACCGAAAGATTTGCACGGTCGTAAGCGCGCAAGCAAGTGAACTTAATATAAAGGATTTAAAAAAAGAGCAAGATGGAGCCATAACACACGTAGATGTCGTCATAAACACGCGTGGAAGAATTCTATGCCGCAAACAAATTATTTTCCCCAGAACACTAATAAGGCCTCGCATCTGAAGTGCTAACCACTTCCCTTCGCAGCATGAAAACCCTAAATGCTCCCAAACACCGAAGCATGATCAGCTAGTGGATTAGCGGGCCTGGTAATTAAATGTCTACACACTCTTCTATTCAAACAGGGAGGC